CCGCTCCGCCCGGAGTGCCCGCGGGTCCCGGACGCACAGCCCCCGCTGACTCAATGCAAACAAAGCCGCCCGCGCCCGCCCGGGTCGAGGAACAGCTGGTGCGCGGCGGCCCGGCCTGGCTGGGCCCGGGGCGATGCCCGCGCCGCCAGGAAGGCCCACGTCTTCCTGGGAACGGCGTGGCAGCCTGGCAAGGGAACCTGCCCGCAGCGCCCACCTGCCTCAGCGTCCCTGCCCGGGGGCGTCTGAGCCGGGCCCAGCAGTGGGGATGTTGGATTTGCCCTCATTCTCTGTCCCCTGGGTCACGGCTGGGGACCCTCTCATTGTCCTCGGCCTCCCTGCCACCCCCTGCCTTCTGGCATGGGCGTAGGAGCGCTTATCAGCCTAGTCCACGATGACACCTCCTGCGGCCTCTTTGCCCCCAGTGGGCCACAGGAGGCCGCCTCCCTGCCAAGCCCTTCCCTTCTTTCCTCCACCCTTGAGCCAGACTGCTTTGACATTCTGACTCTCTGCTTTTGAAGGAGTTGGGACCTGCTGCCATATGGACCCTCCCACTTACCACCCCCAGGGCCCTCTCTTGCTCTGGGCAGTTAGACTGAGATCCAGCAAGCCATCCCTCCACTGCCAGCTGGTCACATCCCTGGAGGCCGGGCATCTGGTCTCCCCCCTGGACAGGTCGGCTGTCCGGCAAATGCCCAGGCCTCTGGAGGGTCCAGTGCCTGCCACGAGGCCTTTGAGGGAAGCCAGACCTCACTTCTCCCCACCATGCCCGTGCCTCTGGGCTAGTCCTGGTGCTCAGTGCTCTTGGGATGGGGTTTCCAGTCAGTGGGTGGGAGGGAGGGGGCAGGTGAGCCAGCCCCTCGACATGGGGCCACAGGACGGAGGGAGGCTCCATGTTTACCTACCTGGGGAGGAAACACCTTGCTGGCAGAGTGCTCCACGGGCTGTTGGCTCAGCAGCCCTGGTTCTTTGCCAGGCCCACAGGCCCAGCTCAGCCGGGACCCAGAGGACCTTGTGTGGGTTAGAGTCCTACCTGTGTCAGCCCCCTCCTCAGCACAGTGTCTCTCTGTCTTTCCCTGGCTGCAGCCCTCTGATGGGGCTGGCTGAGACAGCTATTCCGTTTCCCAACTGAGGACAGTGGGTCAGCTTGGGACAGAGCAGAAGGCAGAGACCAGCCTGGTGGGTAGGGCCCTGGGCTGCCCTCTCAGTGGCTGAAGCCTGGGATCTTGGGTGATGCCTTGGCTTGGGCAGTTCGGGGGTAAGGACCGGATTCCAGACAGGCATCCTGGACCTTGCCATTCAGTGTCCCCAGGACATTCGGCCTGTTGTCCACAGGGCATTTCAGGGGCAGTGCTAGGGAAACAGACTTCTGCTGTGGGCAGCGGACACGCAGGCCCAGCACCTTTCCCTGAGGCAGGGCCTAAACCGAGCTGCCCGGCCTTTCCCGCTTTCCTGTTCTGCTTCCTGTTTTCTTCCTGCCCCCTCGCCCAGCCCTGGGCCAAGCCTGACCTTGGTCCTGAGGGCAACAGCTTCTGCTGAGTTTCCTGACCCTCTCCTGGGGTAGGTGGGGCCCTGGGGGGCCTTCTTGGACCTGGGACCCTCCTGTCTGGAGATTGTCTGGAATCTCAGATGAGTCCTGCTGGGTGGTGGTTTGCACATGTATGCACATGTATGTGCGTGGGAGGCAGGGATGACAGGTCCCAGAACAGGTCACAGATGCCCTTAGTCCATTAGAACACTGCTGCCCCTACCCCCCTCCCCCAGTCCCCAGAGAAGCTGGAAAGGTGCGGCTGGTCCCCTGGGCCCATATTGGGATCTGGCCTGTGCTGAGTTAAAACCATCTGGTTTCCAACCAGCATGGACTGGTCCACCTCCAGCAAAAACACGCTTCAAAGAAACTGGCTTAGGGTTTAGAAGCTTCTGTGGGAAGCCCAGTGGAGCCCATCTGGGGAAACTGAGGCAGGAGCTGAGTCATGTCTCCCCTGCCGAAGCCTAAGGGATCCCTGTGACCCTGGCCAATCCCTGTAGCATCAGGCTGGCCTTGTGTGGTCAGTGAGTGGTCACTAAATCCAAGTGTCTGAACCACAGTGGGAGCAAGATAAGAGGCCCAAGTTGGGAATGAAGGAGATGGTCCCCACTCCTAAAGTCAAGGCCAGCCTTCTAGCTGGGGTCTCTCCTCTGCTTCCAGGGTGAGCTACCCTGGGGCCTTCTCAGGTCCCTCTTGAATCTGTCCCCTCATTTTGAATTCTGTCCCCAGATGACACTTGGCCCAGATGAACTAAGTCTGAGGTCATGTCACTTGGAGCCCAGATGAGTCCTTGACCCTCAAAAGGTGGTGGGGGACGCGTCAGAGATGGAGGGCTTCCCAGAGGCCCCTGTGTGGAGCTCCGACGTTTTTCTAGAATGTCCTCCCCCGACTCCTGCCCCAGACCCAGGCCAGAGTCCCGGCCCCGGACCCCAGAGGGCCGTCCAGGCTGAGGGCATGAGGGCCTCTCCTTTGGCCTTTGTTCCTGTCCCCCAGCTAACTGGCTTTACCAGTTCTGGGACTGAGTCGTCCTTTGTGCCAGCCTGTTCTGAGGGCCATGGCCCCATGTTACCCTGTGGGTACACCTGATGACCCTAGCCTGCATTTGGACGGTCCCACTGGTGTGTGGCCCTGTCTGCAGACAGGCTGAAGGGATCTCCAGGATGGATTTCAGCTGAGTGTCCACAATGTGCCTCAAGTGCAAGGTCAGGGAAGACTGGCTCGTGGACTGAGGGAGCCACAAGGCAATTGCACAGAGACCTGTAGGCTCAGGGACAGTGGTGAGTGCCAGAGGAAAGGGTGAGGGTTCAGGGGGAACAGACAGCCTGGAGGGCTGGGAAGGGGCTTCTTGGAAGTGCTTTCAGAACTGAACTTTTTTCCAGTGTGGCGTATATATATTTTTCTGATGTTAGGAGTGATACATATTTAGTGCAGCCCTATGGTGGTAGCAGGACCTCCGGCTTTCTCAGCTCTAGCTTCTTAGGAAACTGTAGATTGAGGCAATCAGGGAAGGCTTCCTGCAGGTGATATGTGGAGGGAACCTTAAAGGGGCAGGCCTGCCTGAGGGAGCAGAGGAGTGCCAGTCCCTCAACAGATGATCATTCAGAAAGCAAGTTGGTATTATGTGCTATTGCATAAAAATAGGAAAAATAAAAAACACACATACAGAGAGAGAGTTGCGGTGAACATTCTGGTTTGTTTTTGTTTAGTCTTTTATTCATATATGATTTAGTGCAAAATGACGATCACCCCATAGCGTATGCCCCTTCTTTTCCATATAACGTTGCACCGTGCGCATTTTCCATTCGTTGTTCTTTGAAAACATTATTTTCACAGCTGTGTGATACCAGCGATACCGTTGTGCGGATATGCCCACATTTTTGAAACATACCCCGGCCACTGGCTGCTTAGGTCGATTCCAGCATTTCACTGTTTCGACATAACACTTCGGTCAACATCCTCGCACCTGCACATCTCTGACTGTTTCTGTAGGAGACGTTTCTAGAAGTGGAATTTACGAGTCAAGGGGCACAAGTGTTTTTCTGGCCTTTTGCCTCAGTTGCACTGGTGGGCTTTTAGAATGTGGCATTGGAAGGGGAGGGTGTGCTGGGAAGAGGGGATGGCGTGAGCCGAGGGGAGAAAGAGCAGGGGTATGTCCAGGGGTAGGAGATACAGGTGTGTGTGTGTGTGTGTGTGTGCACCAGGAGCACTGGTGGTGCAGTGGTTAAGCGCTTGGCTAATAACCGAAAAGTTGGCAGTTGGAACCCACCAGCTGTTCCACAGGAGGAAGGATGTGACAGTTTGCTTCCATAAAGACTGACAGCCTTGGAAACTCTGTGGGGCAGTTCTACTCTGTCCTGCATGGGCACAATGAGTTGGAATTAACTGAATGGCAATCAGTTTTTTTGTTTTTGTTGTTTGGGTGTGTGCATGTGTGTACATGTATATGTATGTGTATGTGTTGGTGTATACGTGTGTGTGTGTGTCTTTAAGGTAGGGTTTGGCTGGCTGTGAAGCTGAGGTTTGCAGTTGGTTCAGCAGGCAATGGGGAGCCATTGAAGGTCTTTGAGTGAGGGAGCTATGCATTTGGCACTGTGCTTTGGAACATCTGAGTGGGGGGCAGTATGCATGGTGGATCAAGCAGGGGAAGTTGGAGGTGGGCCCTGGCAAGAGCGGTGAGGCCTGCACGGTGGCACTAGCAGCGGGCACTGAGCTGGACAGGTGTGGGTCAGGGAGCCTTGGAGTTTGAATCCATGGCATTGGAGATCGTTGAGTGTGCTGGGAGGGACACTTCTGGTGAACAGAATGCAGTGCATGTCCCCTTGGTCTGGGTCCCTGGGCAGGGACCTAGCAATGTGGCCTGGGGATGTGCCCTGCCAGAGGAGGACGGCGACTTAGCTGGGGTCACACACTCTCTGGGAATAGCTTGGGTTTTGCCTGCTAAGTGGATGCCCAGTTGAGTCCCAGTCATTTGCACTGACTGTCCCCAGCCCAGCTGTGCTGGCCAGCGGTGACGGGGGCTGAGTGTGTCCCTCACATGGGATGGAGCCAGGTAAACTCTGGGCCCAGAGACACAGAGTTGTGTAACTCTGAGACACTGGGTCCCCCCACAGCCTGTGGAAGCCACTGATGACGCCTTTTGGGACCAGTTCTGGGCAGACACAGCCACCTCAGTTCAGGACGTCTTTGCACTGGTGCCAGCAGCAGAGATACGGGCCGTACGGGAGGAGTCGCCCTCCAACCTGGCCACTCTGTGCTACAAGGTGGGGTGCCCGGCCCCTTCACCCCTCCCAGCAGGGCCGTGTCCCACCTTCCCAGCGGAGGCAAAGGGTGGTGCAGCCCTGCGCTCAGAGGGCAGGCACCCGGGATCCCCACCTCCAGGCCCAGGCAGTCTGAGGTCTCCCCAGTTCTCCTGACCCAGCTTGGTGGGGGACGTAATCACAGCAGCCCCATGTGGGAGTGGGAGGGCTTTCTCTGGGCCAGACCCTGGGAGCGTTTCCAGGTTCAGCTCAGTCAGCTCCCAGGCAGCCCTGGGAGGCTGCTGTTGCTGGGGTGGCCATTCCACAGCCAAAGGCTCTGAGCCTCGGGGAGGTGGCACCGCTCAGCTCAGCCTCAGCCAGGGCGTGGTGGCGAGCTCTCAGTTCTGCCTCCCAACCCTGAGCCCTCTGACCTGGTCCCCTTTGTGCCCCCCTCTGTCCCCGCCGTGTCCCCTCTCTGCCCACACTTCTGTCTGGAGAGCTGGCCCTTCGAGGTGGGGCTTCCAGCTGTGGCTCCCGTGGCCAGGTGCCCGCCCTGAGCCCTGGTGCCCTCTGCCCCCCGCCTCCCCGCAGGCCGTGGAGAAGCTGGTGCAGGGGGCCGAGAGCGGCTGCCACTCGGAGAAGGAGAAGCAGATTGTCCTAAACTGCAGTCGTCTCCTCACCCGTGTGCTGCCGTACATCTTTGAGGACCCCGACTGGAGGGGTTTCTTCTGGTCCACTGTGCCTGGGGCCGGCCGAGGAGGGGTCAGTGGGGCTGCTGGCCTGGGGGGTGGAGTGGAGGGCCAGGCACATCCTTTCAGGGCTCTTTTCCCCAGAAAAGGCCTCTGACAAGATGGGGGGGCAGCAGAGGTCTGGGAGTCAAGGTGCTCCTCAGACCCTCCTTTCCCACGGAGGTCCATCTCCGTACGGCCGGGAGCATGAGGGGACATGGAGGGAAGGCAGGGGCAGGGGTGGCTGGGTAAGGGGACAGCTGGGGGCTCTGAGAGCCACGCTGTGCTGTCCTCTCCGCAGCCCCACCCCTTGCCTGGCTTTATCTCCGGACAACCGGGCCAGGGCTGGGGTCCACGACAGGTCCAGAGCTGAGGCTCCCGAGGCTGGGGACATAGCCTGGCCCCTCCCCCAGCCAAGTGCCTCGCCCCATCACTGGGGAAGGGTCCTCCCTGCCCTGCCCCCGTGGGCTTCACTGGGAGCTTGGAGGTGACCAGAAGTCCACTTCCTCTTCCTCCTCTGGCCCCTTCCTTCCCCTCTCTGCCCATGGGTCCCTGCCTGGCCTAGTCCCCATCCCGTGTCCCGTATGCCCTGCGACCACCTCTCCTTGGCGAGTGCCCATTGGGTGGCCCTGTGGGTGCTCCGTCCCAGCAGGGAGAGGAGGAGGATGAAAACGCCCGGCCCCTGGCCGAGTCCCTGCTTCTGGCCGTCGCCGACCTGCTCTTCTGCCCAGACTTCACGGTCCAGAGCCACAGAAGGAGCACTGTGGTGAGAGCCCACCCCTCTGTGGCCAAGAAGGTTCTGCCCCTGAGTTGGGAACTGTTCTAGCTGATGCTTCTGGGGCAGGCTGCTGCATGGCAGGGGCTGCTCAGGGAGAGCCGGGCAGCCTGGCACACATGGCCCCGGAGGAGGAGGCGGGGGCTGCAGGGCTGGAGAGGAGCCAGCTGTGCCCGGGCCTGCCCCCAGCAGCCGGGCACAGGCACCCATTGTCTTGGCCGGCCCGAGGTGGGTGGGGGGTGGGGTAGGGCTTGGACATGGGAGGCTTGGTCCTCACCCTTCCTGTGGCCTGCATGGACTTGACCTTAGATGTTCTTTGCTTCCCACCCCCACGCACCACCAGGGGCATGCAGTCCTGCCCTCCTCTTATCTCCTTGCCTCAGGATGGACTGAGCAAGGAAAAAAAACAGTGTCAGACAAAAGAAAACTTAGTTTCCAAGAGACCCAAAAACATCCATTTCTTTCCTTGTAAATTAGGATCCAGGGCATTTGAGGGTCCGTCTTTAGGAGATGTTGTGGATCTCCGCCCCAGGGGTGCTGGGGTCCGTTCAGCGTTCCTTCTGGGCACTAGCCTGACATAACCCTATGCCTGTCCCAGGACTCGGCGGAGGACATCCACTCCCTGGATAGCTGTGAATACATCTGGGAGGCCGGTGTGGGCTTTGCACACTCCCCACAGCCCAGCTACACCCATGACATGAACCGGTGAGCCTGGGCCACTGCACGGCTGGACCCTGGGCCCCACACAGCTGCACCCCGAGGAGACCCTCCTCCCTGGCAACACGGCCTCAGCTTCAGTGACCCACGGGGATCATTTGTTTCCACGGACGTGGGCTGGGATGCCGGCCAGGGTGGGCAGCGCCCTCCTAGCAGGCAGCTGGGACCCTCAGGCACTGAACCCCTCCGGTTCCTCTTCTCTGCCAAGGACGGAACTGTTGAAGCTGCTGCTGACCTGCTTCTCCGAGGCCATGTACCTGCCGCCAGCTCCGGACAGTGGCAGCACTAACCCCTGGGTGCAGTTCTTTTGTTCCACGGAGAACAGGTGAGGAGTGCCTGGCCTTTCCATTCTCTTCTTGTCCAAGGCAGTCCAGAGCCCAGACTTCCCCGCCTGGTGAGTCTCATGGAGGTGCTGCCCCCTGGTGGTTCTGAATTGTAACTTTAGAGCCTCGCCTACCAGCGCTGTCTGTCAGCCTGTTGGATACCCAGGGACAGCGGAGTTGGATGACCCATACCTAGGTGCTCTGTCTACAGCAGTGCTGTCCAATAGGAAGGTACTATGCAATGAAAATGTCTAGTAGCAACATTAATAATTAAAAAGAAACAGGTGAAATTGATTATGATAATCTATTTCATTTAACCCAACATATTGAAAATAATAACATTTAACACATAACTAATATACAAAATTGTGAAGATAGTTTACATTTTTTTTTTTTTTTGTACTAAGTGCTCAAAACCTGGTATGTAGTTTGCACTACAGCGCATAGCAGTTTGGCCACATTTCAAGTGATCGGTAGCCACAGGGCAGCTTAGACACTGGACGGGGGGGGGGGAGATGTCATGAATAACCCTGAGGATGGGGGGGCCCCGGGGGGGCACTCTTGAGCTTAAGGGGCACATACGAGCTGTTATGCAAGCCATGTGGCTGCGTGGAGTGCGAGGAGAACGTGTGTATGTGAGGACACACGTCCCAGCTGTGCCGAGGACCATGCTGGCCACATGGAGGTCAGTGTCCCTAAGCGTGGTGGCTTGCCCCCCTTCTTTCTAACGTGGTTCCTACACCGTACCTTCGTCCTTCAGGTTTTGCTGGCTTCCTGCCCAGCTGTGTTTTTCTCCCAGAGAGAAGGGGCCCCAGGGGATCCCTCCCACCAGCGCAGTCAAGAGCTGGGCAGTTTTCTTTGTCACCAGCCTTCTCAGGCTGACTGCCCCCAGGTGCTGTGTCCTCTCTGGCGCTCCTTTAACCTCTTTGAGTCTCACTTTCCTCATCTGTAAGGTGAGGAGCTTGAACCCTGACATCCTCGGAATCTCTGAATCTGCTTGTGTGGCAGCCTGGGCGGCTGACTGAGGGTGCGCTCTGCCTCGGGCTGAGTGAGTGTGCGCTCTGTGTCTGGGAGTCTCTGGGTGGTGCAGTCAGTGAACTCAGTTGCTAACCAAAGAGTGGAGGTCGAGTCCACCCAGAGGCACCTCAGAAGAAAGGCCTGGCGATCTACTTCTGAAAAACTAGCCACTGAGACCTGTGGAACACAGTTCTTCTCTGACCCACTGACGCACGTGGGGTCTCCATGGAGCGCAGTTCTCTGGCCCACTGAACACGTGGGGTCTCAGCAAGCACTCCCCTGAGGCATGTTCTGCGTCCTCCTGTGGGCCTTTAGCCCCTTCTATCCTCCCGAGCAACACCAGCTGCCTCTTGAGAACCTAAGGGGTGTGGGCATAGTTTCTACCAAGAGCCGCACCTATGAGTTGTCAGGCTACTCTTGGTAACGAGATCCCTCTGCCTTTTGTCCAGTCAGGCGCAGGCTGGAGCCCAGACCTGGGCCTGGACGTGGAGGGGTCTTTTGCACTCAGCACGGGCAGGGTCATGGTCCCGTTCCCCGCTTCCAGCCCAGGCCTGGCTCGACACTCTTGAATGGGGAGCTGCTCGGCGGGCCTCCCCCGTACCTGGTGGTCAGCACCCACCTCCTCTCCCTCTGCAGACACGCCCTGCCCCTCTTCACCTCCCTGCTCAACACCGTGTGTGCCTATGACCCTGTGGGCTACGGGATCCCCTACAATCACCTGCTCTTCTCCGACTACCGGGAGCCCCTGGTGGAGGAGGCTGCCCAAGTGCTCATCGTCACCTTGGACCACGACAGTGCCACCAGTGCCAGCCCCACCGTGGATGGCACCACCACAGGCACTGCCATGGACGACGCAGATGTAAGGATGAAGGCAGTGGCCCTGCCAGGTGGTGGGGGACCCCTTCTAGCATCAGGCACCTTGTGCTGTAGGGGGAGTATCTGAGGCCAGAAGGACTTGGCTGCTACCATGCAGGCCTGGGATCGGGGCCTGGAGAGAGGGGTGAGGGCACCCACTCACCACAGGCCTCCACCCCCAACAGCCGCCAGGCCCCGAGAACCTGTTTGTGAACTACCTGTCCCGCATCCACAGAGAGGAGGTGAGTCCAGCCCTGGTCTTGCTCAGTCAGATGGATTAGGGGATGGGCAGTGAAGGTATGATAGGAAGATAGAAGAGAAAATGCTGTTCCTACAGAAAGGAATTCGAGTCCTCCGTGGACTCAGGCCACCCCGGATAAAATAGTGATGGTGGGGGTGGGGGTAGGGGTAGGGGGAGATGCAGAAAAGCCCTAATGGCCTCAACTGGGTGGGAATAGCTGGGGAGGCTTCCTGGAGGCGGTGGCTCTGCGGTCAAGTTGCAGAGGTAGAGCGGAAAGGACAGTGGAGGTGAAAGTGCAGCAGGCCTGAGTTCTGGTCCCATCCAGACACTTGCAGGAGGCTCAGAAGCTTCCAGAGCTCTAACTTCTTCAGCGATGAGATGTGGACGGTGACCACAGTGGCTGCTTCCTCACCTTGTGAGGACAAATGAGCATAGCTCTGTGGCCCAGCACACAGTAGGTGCTTAGTAAATGGCAGCTTTGTTAATAGCAGGCTGATGGGAAGGAGGCGGGAGAGTGGCACCTGCCAACAAGGGGTCCAGGTGGGCAGGGACTAGGTTCAGGGTGTGTGTGCAGGTGTTGGGCAGGCACTAGGAGCAGCCTTGCTTGGGGTGGGCAACCTGGGGCCGGGGGGGCGGGGCTGTGGTCTGACCAAGGGGTCTATGGAAGAGGCATCTGTGGGGGCCTGGGCTGGAAGACCCTTTGTCTGTCCCTCGCCCAGGACTTCCAGTTCATCCTTAAGGGTATGGCGCGGCTGCTGTCCAACCCCCTGCTCCAGACCTACCTGCCCAACTCCACCAAGAAGATCCAGTTCCACCAGGAGCTCCTGGTTCTTTTCTGGAAGCTCTGTGACTTCAACAAGGTGGGCACCTAAGGGATCTGCCTGGAGGTGGGAGGCCCCGGGGGCTGAGGGGGGCGGAGCTGCCCTTCTGTCTGACCCGCCCACCTGCGCCCTCAGAAGTTCCTCTTCTTCGTGTTGAAGAGCAGTGACGTGCTGGACATCTTGGTCCCCATTCTCTACTTCCTCAACGACGCGCGAGCCGATCAGTGTGAGATGGGGGCAGGCGTGGGGTCGCGGGGGCTCCCTCGCAGAGGGCGGGGTCCCACCGGTCTGTACCGCCTCTCCGGGGCTCGGGCCTGGGGCCCTGACTGCCTCAGTCTCCCTCCCCTCCCCACCCATGGTGACCTTGTGTCGCGTGCCGCAGCGCGGGTGGGCCTCATGCACATCGGCGTCTTCATCCTCCTGCTGCTGAGCGGGGAGCGGAACTTCGGGGTGCGGCTCAACAAGCCCTATTCAGTGCGTGTGCCCATGGATATCCCGGTCTTCACGGGGACCCACGCCGACCTGCTCATTGTGGTGAGGGGCGCTTGTGGGCAGAGCCCGGGCGCGTGGGGACGTGTCTCGGCCGTCTGGAGGCGACGGGGACCCATGGCTGCCCCCCTGCCCCCGGCACAGGTCTTCCACAAGATCATCACCAGCGGGCACCAGCGGCTGCAACCCCTCTTCGATTGCCTGCTGACGATAGTGGTCAACGGTAGGCTGAGCTCCCCACCAGGTGGCGCCAGGCCCCAGGCTGACCTGCCGCGGGCTTCCAGGTTCAAACTCGCTCTGTCCAGCAAAAGTTTAATGCGAGCCAAACTTGCGTTTTCCAGCAGCCACATTCAAATCATGAAACAGATGACACAATTTTTTAAAATTTATTTTTATTGTGAAAACATACATACCAAGGGATTCACCAACATAACAGCTTCCCCGTTTACAGCTAAGGGACATTGATGACACTTTTCGTGTTGTGACACCATTAGTGTCTGTCCTTTTCCAAGATATCCCACCCCCGTCTGCATAAACTCAATGGCCCCCAGACAAAAGCTGCCTCTTCTCCCCTCCCTCCTACCCCTGGTAATAACCACTAATAATCTGGTAACCAACAAAGTTTCCTTCCATATATAAACATTCCCTTGACTTTTTATAATAGTGGACTTATAAAATATTTGTCCTTCTCTGATTGACTTATTTCACTCAGCATAATGTCCCCAGGTTCATCCATGTTATGTGGTGTTTTGCAGATTTTACATTAATCTTTAGTGTTGCATGGTATTCCATTATGTGTATGTCCCATAGTTTGGTTATCCATTCCTCAGTTGATGGGCACTTAGGTTGTTTCCATCTTTTTGCTGTTGGAAACAGTGCTGCAATGAACATGGGTGTGCATACATCTGTTCGTGTCCTGGCTTTCACTTCTTTAGGATATATATGCCGAGTAATGGGATTGCTGGATCAAATGGCATTTCTGTTTCCAACTTTGTAAGGAATCACCACACCGATTTCCACAGTGGTTGTATCATTTTACAGTTCCACCAGCAGCGTATGAGTCCCACGTTCTCCACATCCCCACCAGCATTTGTTGTTTTCTGTCTTATTCAACTTTGCCATTAGTGCTGGGGTGAGATACCATCTCATGGTTGTTTGAAGGAACATTGATCAATCTACTTCCATAGAGATACTGCCTTGGAAACCCAAGGAGGGAGGGGTTTCTATGAGTCAGATCCGACTTGACAGCAGTGAGTTTTTTTTGTTTTTTTTTTTAATAGCTAATGATCATGAATATTTCTTCATGTGTTTGTTGGCCACCTGAATATCTTCTCTGGCAAAGTGTCTGTTCATGTCTTCCGCTCATTTTTTTAAAAATTGGATTGTTTGTCTTTTTGATGTTGAGATGTTGGGAGTTTTCTACAAATTTTAGAGATAAGTCCCTTAGATGACACAAATTTTAATAATCTGTTTTGTTTCACCCACTCTATCTAAAATGTCCCTGGTGGCACAAATGGTTGGGGTTTGACTTCTAACCTAAAGGTTGGTGGTTCAAACCCATCCAGGGTGCTGGGGAAGACAGGCCTGACAACTGCTTCTGTCAAAATTACAGCCAAGAAAACCCCCTGAGCAGGGTTTTTTTTTTTTTGGATCCAAAATATTACCATTTTAACACATAACCAGTATACAAATATATTAACATGATAGTTTCTATTCCTTTTTTTTTCTTTTTGGCACCAAGTCTTTGAAACCCCATGTGTATTGTTTTCCACTTACAGTACAGCTCAGCCAGGACTAGCTGTGCTTCAAGTGTGTGATGGCTACACGTGGCTTGTGGTTACCATGTTGGACACGCAGGTTTACATGGCTAGAGTCCGGGGACCTGGGAAGGTCAAGGTCACCTCTGCTCTGCCTTCATGTTACTCCCCTGGCAAGGCCAGCATGTCCCTTCTAAGAGAGGAGGCAGAGGGCTTAGTGGGCTGGGGCAGGGCGGCTGCAGCCACCAGGATGATGTCAGCATGAACACCTTGAGAGGGGATGTCCCGGGTAGGGGTGGCTGGCTCCTTGGTGCTCTGATTTGGAGCTGGGTCGTGTGGCCTGGAGGCACAGAAGCCTCTAGCTGGGCAGTGAGCTCTGAGCCCAGGGCCAAGCCTTTCCTTGTTGCTCACCAGCTCCATCCCATGAATCTTAAGTGAGCGCCCTAAGCATGCTGGCTCTGAGAACATGTGCGTGAGCAAAAAGGACACCATCCTGCCCCTGTGGGGTCCTCAGGCTAGTGAGAGACGAGGACACAAGTCAAAGAATGGCTGGTCACCTGACTCCAAGCTGCACTCAATGTTCAGCATCGATTCCAACTCACAGAGCTGTGCAAACAGGGTGATTGGTGGTGTAGTGGTTAAGGCATTTGGCTGCTAACCAAAAGGTCAGTGGTTCGAACCCACCAGCTGCTCTGCAGAAGAGAGATGAGGCAGTCTGCTTTTGTAAAGATTTATAGCCTTGGAACCCAATTAGGGAGTCACTAGGAGTAAGAATTGACTTGGTGGCAGTGAGTTTGGGTTGGTTGGAATGAGAGCATGAGGAGCCCTGGTGACGCAGTGGTGAAATGCTCAGCTGCTAACCTAGAGGTCTGTGGTTCAAACCTATCAGGCATTGCATAGGAGAAAGATGAGGCAGTCTGCTTCCTTAAAGACTATAGCCTTGGAAACTCTGTGGGGCAGTTCTGCTCTGTCGTGTTGGGTTGCTGTGTGTGAGAATATACTCAGGTGCGCCCCGTCCTGACAGTGATCTAGCAGAGTCCTGGGTGCTGCAAATGATTATCACCCTCAGCGCTAGCCAACAGTCCGGTCTTCATGTCCCCTGAGAGGTGCCTCGGAAGGAAGGCCTGGCAATCTACTTTAACGAAACCGTCCTGTGGGGAGAAACCGTGGGGCACAGTTCTCCCCTGACACACACGTGGGTTTGCCACGAGTTGTAGTTGACACAACAGCAGCTGGTTTAGTTTTTTGCTTTTTTAAATGACAGCAGCTGGACAGTCTAGGACTTAACGGTCCCGAGTCCACCTCCCTGCCCGATCATTTTATAACTGGGGAACTTGAGGGGCAGGTTTGCAAACTTCTCTGAGCCTCAGTTTGCTCTTCTGTAAAATGGAGATAATCTTGTCTGTGTCCTGCCTCCCACTCAGGGGTGAGGAGGATGGGAGGAGATGGGACATGTGAGCGGCTTTGTAAACGGCATAGCTGCCCACACAGTCGGTGGCCTGCAGGGGCTCTGCAGAAGGCCCGGCCCGGGCTTCTAGGGGCCTGGGCTTCCTGGCTCTGGGGGGTCTTCTAGGTGAGGGGCAGGGAGGGATTGGAGCTGGAGCATCTTGTCCTGCCCAGGCCCAGGATGTGCAGGGGCGGCTGGAGTGGGGCCCCAGGAGTGAGCCCACCCTCCCCTGCAGTGTCCCCCTACCTCAAGAGCCTGTCCATGGTGGCCGCCAACAAGCTGCTGCACCTGCTTGAGGCCTTCTCTACCACCTGGTTCCTCTTCTCGGCGGCCCAGAACCACCACCTGGTCTTCTTCCTTCTGGAGGTCTTCAACAACATCATCCAGTACCAATTTGATGGTGAGGCACCCACCCAGTCCCCCTTGGAAACCAGCACAAGGGGCTCACCTGGCCTAGCCTGGGGGCGGGGAGCAGTGGGTGAGGGAGCCTTCCACCTAAGGTGGGTGCAACACAAGAGCTGGCCCTCTACCCCCGCCCTACTCACTCAACACGAGTTATTAAGCACCTCCTAGTGGCAGGTGTTCAGAAGGAAGGTTGGGCAATCCACTTCCGTAGTGATACTGCCTCGGAAACCCAAGGAGGGGTTGCTGTGAGTCAGGTCCGACTGGACGGCACATAACAACAACAACAGCATTAAGTGAAAAAGCCCTGAGAACAGGGAGAAGGCAGGGCAGTGTGAAGGCGTGCAGGCTCACCCCAACCTCGTCTTCTTGGACCCCTCCCTGGATACCTGGCTCAGGGGCAGTCAGAATACACCTGGCTTGGTGTGGACTCTGTCACGCTGGGCCCGCCCCCGTCACTGGGTGCTACCCTTTCGTGTGCCACACTGGTGGTTCAATGCTAGAATTCTCGCCTTCCATGTGGGAGATCTGGGTTCGACTCTCGGCCAAGGCACCTCCAGTGGGGACTTGTGTGTTGCTATGATGCCGAATAGGTTTCAGCGGAGCTTCTAGGCTAAGAAAGACTAGGAAGAAAGGCCTGGCAGTCTACTTCCGAAAATCAGCCAGGGACAGGCCTGTGGATCACAGCAGCAGGTCTGTCACCGCGCTGGGAATGGTGAAGGGCCAGGCAGTGCTTCGTTTGGTTGTGCCTGGGGGCACCATGAGTCGGGGGCCAACCTGACGGTAGCTGACGACACTCTTCTTTGGTGCTGAGTTGTGAGGTGGTCCAGAAGGCCCGGGAGAGGGGCATGGGGGCAGCTCAGGCCCGAGGCTTTCCTGACAATGTGGCACCAGCCCTGCCCCACCCCTCCTCCCTGAGGCTGCTACCCCTAGGTAGATGCCCTCCTGCCTCCCAAACTCCCCCTTGCACAGCTCACCCAGATGGGGTGGGACGAGGGGGTCTCCCTGAGTTGAGGCGCACTCCCCCCCATCCCCAGGCAACTCCAACCTGGTCTACGCCATCATCCGAAAACGCAGTGCCTTCCACCAGCTGGCCAACCTGCCCACCGACCCGCCCGCCATCCACAAGGCGTTGCAGCGGCGCCGGCGGGCGCCTGAAGCCCTGTCCCGCACTGGCTCACAGGAAGGCGCCTCCATGGAGGGCTCCCGCCCCGCCGCCCCCGCTGAGCCTGGCACCCTGAAGACCAGCCTCGTGGCCACGCCAGGTCTGGCACTGGCAGGAGGGAGGGGAGCGTGGATGCCAGCATGGTCGGGATGGCCCTGGGCTCAGGGTGTCACGCCCAGCTCTGCGTAGGGAAGAGCCCGGGTCGGGATGCAGAGGGGATGGACAACAGGGGTGAGGGGAGACATATTGGGGGCCCAGGTACTGGGTGGGCCCAGGAGGGGCAGCTTGGTTGGGGAGATGGGGCCTCGGGGCTGCATGTAGCCTCTGGGAGGAGTGGGCACACAGGTGGGGGTTTGGGGGCAAGATTGGGCACAGTGCCTCTAAGTAGAGAGTGAGCCTCTGGAGGGCAAGGCCCAGTGGAGGGAGACTGGCTAGGGGCCTGTGGAGGCGCCTCACTGCCACCTGTGCCCTCAGGCATTGACAAGCTGACGGAGAAGTCCCAGGTGTCAGAGGATGGCACCTTGCGGTCCTTGGAACCAGAGCCCCAGCAGGGCTCAGGGGATGGTGGCCCCGTTGTGGGGGTGGGCGGCGGAGAGTCCTGGAGCAGGGTGAGCTGGGCTTCCCTTCCTGTCTGGGGTGGAGGGGTGGGCACCCAGTGCCCCGGGCACCAGAGTTGGCACTGCCAGGGCCCTCTTGCTGGGGGCAGGGAACTTTCACTCCCCCTGCCCCCCCCCCGCCCCCGCTGGTTTCCTGGGCTCAAGTCCTTGGCCTTCAGACTCCTCATCCATCAGCCTTATCTGCAGCCAGCCGGCCTTTACCCACCTGCCAGGTCAGCCCCTGGCCCTAAACCTGTCACAGCTACACTGGGCCGCCCTGGCCTGGAGCCCAGGGCAAAGGGTGCTGGGCTGGGCCTCCATGGGGAGTGAGGCCCCAGCTCCCCCCCCACCCCTTGCCCCACGGTCCAGCAGGGAAGCCTGATGACCCTCCCAGGTTCCGGCCAGTGGGAGACAGGGAAGGGGGGCTTCCCTCCCCCTACCCCCCCCCTCATGCCCCGTTCCTTCTCGGGTCCAGGAGTCCGGCCAGGTGTGGCGGGAGCAGCGGCGACCATCCAGTGGGTCTGCCAGTGGGCAATGGAGCCCAACGTCGGAGTGGGTGAGGGGCCCATGGTGGAGCAGCCGGGGTTGGGGTTGGGCAGATGGGCAGAGGTGGGGCCTGGCTCGGGGGACTCTGGTCCTCGGAGGGACTGACCTGGGCATTCGGGAGAGACAGAGTTGGGGACATGTCTGAAGCACTGTCTGGCATGGGGGTGGGCTCTGTGGTCATCATTCCGGCCAGGTGACCTTAGCTTCCCTGCTTCACTGTCCACACTGTTCCCCAGGGCTCCCCAGCACCCACAGTGTGGATTTGTTCGTAGTACCCATCCTGACTTCTCTCCAAGTCACTTCCCCATCCCCTGGTTCCCTGAAATCACCACTAACTGCACTGGACGGAGACAGGGATGGTGTTTGCCAGCCATGCCACCATGAGGGCTTGGGGCACCATCTTCTCCCCCATTATTAATGGTTGCTGCACCATCCTCCCCCCCGTTGTTAACGGTCGCTGCTCCTGGCACTGCCCTGGGCCAGGCCCAGGCAACCAGGGTTCTGGGGGCATGGTTCAGGGTCTGGGTCAAGGCTGTCGTACAGCTCCGGGGCTCTCTCCCGAGCCCAGGCAGCCTGTCCTTCCCCCAGGTGCTGTCCTGGAAGTCCAAGCTGCCGCTGCAGACCATCATGAGGCTGCTGCAGGTGCTGGTTCCGCAGGTGGAGAAGATCTGCATCGACAAGTGAGGCGGGGCGGGGCCAGGTGGGCGGCCCAGGCTCCGGGCGGGGGCCAGGGTACGCCCTGTGCTCCCCGGTGACCCCACCTGCCCGCCCGCCCATCCCTGCAGGGGCCTGACGGATGAGTCCGAGATCCTGCGCTTCCTGCAACACGGGACCCTGGTGGGGCTCCTCCCTGTGCCCCACCCCATCCTCATCCGCAAGTACCAGGCCAACTCGGGCACCGCCATGTGGTTCCGCACCTATATGTGGGGCGTCATCTACCTGAGGTGGGCCGCGGGGCGACGGTGTGGGGCCCACGTGAGGGGCCTGCTCTGCGGGGACCTTGGCCCTGAGTCCCCTCATCTGTAGGGGGTGCAAATGTCAAGACAGTGGCTCAGGGTGGCCTTTCTGGTTGAGGGTGGGGGCCTCGGGGCTGGAAGGGACTAATGCCCAGCTCCAGCTGTGACAGCCTTTCCTTCCTCAGGAATGTGGACCCGCCTGTCTGGTACGACACCAACGTGAAGCTGTTTGAGATCCAACGGGTGTGAAGATGGGGGGCCAGGGCTCTGGCCCCCCATGCTTCCCCTCCCCCACTGTTCTTAGCTTTAAGTGACCACGACCAGGGCGGGGGGCAGGCCGAGTGGCCAGGTCTGGGATGCTAGGCCCCAGGAAGCCCCTCATGGCTGGGGGAAGGTGGGGACTGGCCCCGACCCCCTCACGCTGGCCTCCAGGACTGTAGGGAACCTTCACTCTGGGACTTCCTCCAGATCCATCAGTACCGCCCAGTTCCAGTACTGCCTGCCCTGGAGGCCTCTGTGCCCTAATGGGGTTGCCCAAGAAAGGGCCTCGGGCTGTCCCTTGAGGTACCTTGACAGGGTAAGGGGACCCCCCCAAGCCTCCTAACCTGACCCCTGTTCCAGGCCCGGCTCACTGCCAGGCCCGTGGAAGGAGGGAGTGTGCCACGCTCCCAAGAGGCCACCAAAGGCAGCCTGGGGGACCCCATGGATCTTAGGGGTTTGGAGTGGGATATTGAGAGCCTCATGCTATAATCTCTGGGGTCAGTGGAAATAGCCTGGCTCCTTCTTACTCAGTAATGGGGCCGAGGGGATGGGGGGCAACCAGCCAGCCCTCCTGCCCCATCCCCTGCATGGCTGACTGGGAGGAAGGTGGCCCAGAGGCCACTCCTGTCCTCAGCCAGCTCCGGCTCCAGGTCCCCCTCCCACCTGAATCAGTACAATCGGCTTCTTTACGTAGTAAACTCTCTCTCTCTCCACTTTTGTGTGTCTTTGGAGAGGCGCAGACATGGCTTTTGTCGTAGGACTGGGACAGGCATTTGCTATTTTCTTGAGTGGGCGAGCAGAGGATTGGACCTTGGGCTGTGGTCATCAGACAAAACCCCACCAGGGAGGGGAGATGGGTGTGGCTCCCAGGCCCCGCCCCCACCCCATCAAGGCCACCAGCAGCCACTGAGACAGCTTTGGGGGCCCAGGCGCTGCCCTGTTCTTGTAGTGCCCAGCCTGTCAGGGAGGGGAGGGGGAGGGGAGGGGGAGCCCCGCCTCCAGGGGCCAGGGTTGCCCTGCCCAGCCTCGCCCGGGTTCAGCCCTGTTTGCACTGGGCTTAGGAAGATGGACGGGCTGTCAGCGCAGCTCTCCTCCCTGGGGGCAGGGCACCCCTCCCCCTTCCTGCTCCACCCCATGGCTCAGGCAGGCCTGGGGACCAAGCAGCGGACGCCATGGCACCTGCGTGAGCCAGCTGCCACCCGGGAGAGGCTGTGCTGGTGAGAGGTGGGGAGATAGGACGGGAGACCCCACCAGGGCTGCTTCCTCCCTCCCGCCTCCCCCACCAACCATGGAACAGACCAGGCAAGGGGAGGCCTGGACACGGACTAGCCCTGCCCAGAAGGCCCAGCCCTTCCCACCATACCAGGACTGGCAGCTCAGTCCCTGGGAACAAATGCCACGAAGCCCGAATGTAATCGATCAGACAAACAGGGTTTATGGCAGCGGGAGAGAGCTGTTGAACCCTGCCTGGCAGCTAATTAATGAGCTCATTAGGAGATCAGGTGTGCACGGGGAGAGGGCAGGCAACTGCTGACCTTCCAGGGGTGTCCTGGGCCGCCAGTCCCCCCACACGCAGCAGGAGGCAGACCTTGAGGCCTGCCGGGGGAGGGGTGCCCTGCCCCAGACTCCCCAGACTCAGCCATTTAGGTCCGACACCTTCCCACCTAGAGCAGCTGTGGGGCCCCGGCAGCCTCCTGGGGCACTGGCAGATGGCAAGCCCTTGCTGGGCCTGGGCCTGGGCCTGGGCATCAGGGTCTAGGCCCTGCCCTTGATCTCGGGGCCACAGAGTGCCCTCCCCTCTCAGGGAGGGGGAGGTTCTGGGGAACCCAGGCTAGGTGTCTGACCCCCTTGGAATGGGACATCTGCTCAGACTCGGGGCTCCCTGCCTGGGCATATCACCTTCTGCTGGGGCAGGTTCCCTGGGCCGTTTCAGGCCCCCAGGTAGACCTCCACCAGCCCCCCGACAGAGTGCATGCGGTAGAAGACGCCCAGAGGCAGGCCCAGGTTGACGATGGTGAACCAGGCCCGGTAGCCATAGAAATCCTTTTCCAGCCCGTTCTCAAACTCGGGGTGCAGACCAAACGCCGGCATCATCCACAGCTGTGGGAGGAGAGGAGGCTGTCGAGAGGGGGAAGGGGCTCCCCCGTGCCCCCCACTCTCAGCTCGGGGGATGCAGGCCCCAGAACCGGCAGCTGCTCCAGCGCACCCCACTTACCGTCCCCAGCACCACGGGCTCTCAGAGCGAGCTCCTCTCTGCCCACGGCCCTTCATGCAACGCAGAGAAGCCGCAGCTGCCCCCGGGGCCAGCCTGTCCTCCAGGTGGACCGTGAGGCCCCAGCTGCACCAAACCTGGTGTCTGGCAAGAATTCCTGGCGGGCAGGCTGCTCCTTAGGCCGAGCTCCCCTGGGCTCTGCTGTCTGCACTGGCTTGCTCCTTCTGCTAGTTACACCCACGCCCCTTCCTGACCAGATTCTCCCCGCTTCTCAAGGCCCAGTCAAACCTCACCACCTACGGGAAGCCTTCGGCATGGGGCCCTCCCCACCTTCTCTGGGGGTTACTGCACTTCAGGCCAATCTGCTGGGCATCCGTGGCCTGGACCAGGGCCTCTACCACCTGAGGAGTGTTTCCAGGGCAGTCATTACCAACATGGGCTGCGGGGAGAGGCAACTCTGAGTTCTGGCCAAGCACTGCCACTTACAGGCATGGGGCCTTGGGCAGGGCAAACAACCTAAGCCTCAGTTTCCCTACGTGTAAGACTGGCACAGTAATACTGCATGAGATGATGGTGACGATTCAGTGAGGCGCTGAAGTCACGCGTGGAGGGGCTCAGATGGACTCGAGGCTTAGCAGCCACCAGATACTCAGCAAATATCGTCAATATCTCCCACTAATGACTTCAGGCACCCTCTGATCTCTCTTTGACTAAGTCCAGTGGACTGTCTGGTCATTTTCTATCTACCTGATGTCGCCCCAACTAGATAGTAAGTTCCATGAAGGTAACGACCATAGATATTTGTAAGGAGCACTAAGCTGTGTGCTTGGCACGTTCATTCACATCAGGCACCTGCAAGGAGCTGGGGGCACACTCCCCGCTCTCATGCAGTATCAAGTTAGTTAGAAGCATGTATCCTTGACAACCAAAACGATAAGCCAGTCACCCTTGGGGCAGTCAATGCTCAACACATGCACTTTGATCCATCCCTTCCTGAGACTTTCTGGGGCCAGCTCCGCCCTTCACGCCTCCCGGCCCTGCCACTCACTGTGATATTGCAGAGGATGAGGAAGAGGGAGATCTCCTTAAGCGCGCGGCGCTTCCAGTTGAGGTGGTTGTAGGAATGGATGTAGGCCCGCGAGGCCCGCCGCAGGCCCTGGCCCAGCTCCAGCAGGGAGCCCCTGCGGGGCAGCTCGGCCTCCGGCTTCCCCGCGGGGGCTGCCTCCCAGAGCGGGCGCCGGTGCAGACCCTCGATGATGAAGAGGTTCTGGGTGATGTGTTGCAGGATGAGTAGCAGAGAGTAGGCCAGGATGAGGCGGCCAAGCAGCTCGTGTGGGCGCGTGGCCACCGCAGCCACAATGGAGAAGTAGGCGATGCCCACCTGGCCCAGCGCGGCGCCCATCAGCAGTACCACGTCCAGGCTTCGCGTGGGGTTCTTGAGCGTGTCCAGCTCTCGGGCCTCTAGCCCGTGGATGGCTGTGCCCGCCAGACACGCCAGGCTCATGGCAGGTAGCACGGCGGCGTAGTAGGCATAGTAGAGCGTGAAGTACTGGCGTGCGATGCCCGGGCCGCTGGCCTCGATCTGGAAGAGCACGAAGACGCACACGCCGGCCACCAGCGCCAGCAGGCCCAGCAGTGGCCCGAAGATGACCCCGTGCAGGCGGAAGGGCACGGTGGCGGCGTGGGGCCCCACGTGGGCTGCCAGGCGTCGGCCCACATTCTTCCACATGACAAAGAGCACAGCACAGCAGATGAGGCAGTACTCGGTGCTGAAGGGGTAGAGCATGAGGTAGCCTTTCTGGAAAACCTCGCACACCGTGGCGTTGAGGCACAGGCAGCTGTTGGTCCCGTTGCCTGGGGGTGGGGCCGGGCGGGAGGGGACAGGCGTTCAGGCGGGCTGGCTGCACCAAAGACAGCCCTTCTGGAATATGCCAGGCGTGCGGGGGACCCGGCCCCTCATGTTACAGAGATAGAAACCGTAAACCACAGGAGCAGAAAACGGTTCAGGGGTCACGCTCCCGTAAAGCGTTTACACAGGATGTCCTTGGTGCCAGATGTCACCCCCACAAAGAACTTGCTGGGCACAAGGGAAAGCCTGTAACTTTACAAAGGGGAAACCCGGGGGCTGCCCCTGAACCCAGCGCTCAGCCGCAGCAGCGCTCACTGTGGGGAAGTGAGACGTCACGTGTCTGCTGATGAGGTGTCACTGCAAGCCCAGAGTGCCACCTGAGAAACAATGTCACCAAAAAGCCTTAACCGGGGTCTGACGGAGACTCATGCCCCAACTCCCTGTTGGGAACAGCAGGGAGAGAGGAACAAATGCAACATTACAAGGAAGTGACCTGACACATCCCACTGTCAGGAGGGAAAGGAGGGGGGCTCTTTCAGATGAGGAGCCCAGGTGGTGCAGTGGGTAAGCGCTCGGTGCTAACCGAAAGCTCAACGGTTGGAACCCACCAGCCACTCTGTGGGAGGAGAACGTGGCAGTCTGCTTCTGTAAACATGACAACCTTGAAAACCACGTGGGGCAGTTCTCCTCTGTCCTGTAGGGTCGCAATGAGTCGAAATAGACTCCATGACAAGGGTGTTTTTTTTTTTTTTTTTTTTAAATACTCTTAGAATGAAAGACTTAAGAGATCTAGCTACCAAATGCATTGTATGCTTTTGATTACATTCTGGCTTGAACAAACCATCTATATAAGACATTTCATAAGCTAATTGGAGAAATTTAAATTTGCATCGATAGAGAGGACATTAAGGAGTTTTGTTTAGCATTATAGTAGCACTGTGCTAATGCAGGAAAATATTTTACAGAGATGCATGTGGAAATGTTTCAGGATGAAATGCTGTGATTTCTATCATTTTTAAAAAAGTATTTCAGCAAAATAAGTGAAATAAATACGGCAAAACGTTATAATGATTACACTCAGGTGATAGGTATATCCTGTTTTTCTTAATTTGAATTATTTTAATTGCATTTTTGAAAAATTATATTACTAGGAATCAAGTTTGATTTTTTTATTAATAAGAAATGGTATCACTTGTCAAACATTCTGCAGTTTTTCTGGAAAATGGAGCCAGGGTATTAGGACTGCACACAGTCAATGGGTGTGCCCTGCTTTCCATAATGGGTGTGTGACTGCAGCAGTGTGCTGGCCAGGCTGTGCTGCACACAGGTCACGACGGTGATGCCGTCTAAGGGCTGTATACATGCAGGTGTGGCTGGGCCTCACAGATGGCAATGTTCCCAGGTGCCCTTACGGACCAGCGTCAAAGGGGCGGACTGCAGGTCCGGGAGGGACCATGCACATGGACTAATCTGGGGAGTTGTTTACCTGGAGATCCCTCCTGATAAGTCACATTGTATTAGGATGACATTCTTTTCTGTCCTTTTGTTCCTTTTTAAGAAAATGCAAATACCACGGGTGGGGTGCATACCTAATGCATTTATCATTGAACAGCTCAGCTGGGATCAGTGGCTAGCTTTCTGACAGATAGGTGGATGCCAGGGGTGGGTTGCAGGGTGCCAGCACGTGATGGGCCAGGTACAGAAGGGGAGCAGAAGGAGAGGTGCCCGCTGGCAAAAGTCACTGGCTGGTTACTATGACCCAGCCCCGGTAGTATCCCAACTCCGCAGACTTACATGCACCTTACAAGCAAGTGCAGTGTGTACACGTGTGTGTGTGGAAGGTGGGGTGGGGATGGTACCTGAGAACTTCTCCACGAGGGCATTGAGCTCAGCACTGATCTCGCGATGCATTGAGTCATTGGTGACAGCCAGAACCCATAGCAGCAGGTTTGTGGCCAGGGTCAGCATCAGGCCACACCTGGAGGAGGTGCCACACTCAGCCACACAGCCTGGTTGGCTCTCTGGTGCCCAATCCCACCACCAACTGCTATTGGGGGATCACTCACTCCTCTAAAGCCAGCTCTCATCATTAGGACTTCAGAGACATGGCCCCTAGGACCCATTCTCAGGCTGGCCCACACTCCTGGGCCACTCTGTCCAGGGCGACTGTGGGAGACAGGCACTGGGAGGAATAGGGAGCCCCAGGAGGTTCTAGGGGGAGAGAAGCAGCCCCATCTCACCTTGTGAAGTTGGTCTGGACCTGTACACAGTCCTTGCAGTGCCTCCAGAGCACCCAGGTCTGAAAGAGAGAAGGCCTTGAGCCCAGGGCTGGGTAGGCGACCACTGCTTGTGTGTATTTACAACGGATAAGAGAGTGAGGGGGCTTGGGTCGGGATCTTGCCTCAACCCTTTCCTTGCTGTGTGCTCTTGGGCCAGTGACCAAACATCTCTGAGCCTCAGTCTGTTCAACTTCAAAAAGGGGCCCCAAATGCCTACTGATGAAAGGAGTGTCTATTTGTTGGGGAAATAAAGAAGATGACGAAATGAAGCACCAAGCACAATGCATAGCACACAACCAGAACTCAGCAGAGTTAGACATCATTATTAAAGGTAGATGTGTATTGAAACAGATATGCTAGGAGCTCTGGTAGCGTAGTGCCTAAGGCACTTAACTTCTAACCAGAGGCTGGCAGTTCAAACCCACCAGCCACTCCTTGGAAGGAAGATTGGGCAATCTACTTCCGTAGTGATACCTTGGAAACCCAAGGAGGGGTCACTATAAGTTGGGTCCGACTCAAAGGCACATAACAACAACAGCATGCAAAGATGCAATGGGCGACACCATCCATTTGTATTGATAGGGGTCTGTGTTTCAGTTACAAAGTGTGTGTGATGCAGGTACGTGTAGGTGTGTGTGCATGTGAGTACGGGGAGGTTGGGCATTGCGCGGGCATGTGTTGTGTGTATGTGTACGCTGGGGACTATTGCTATTTGCCTCTGTGGCTGCTTTTAGATATAGGTGGGGTGGGGGTGTGCATGTTTTCTAGGTACAGAAGGGACGGGGTGTGTCTAGTTGCAAGGGACAGGAAAGGCCTGTTACCTGGACACCAATGAAGATGATCTCGATGACAGGGAAGACGAGCTCCAGCTGGGACTTACAGTGGCTGTGGCTCATGTCGTAGCCCACACGGAAGACATTGAGGAAGACGGTGCAGCTACCAAACAGCACCAGTGAGCCTGCAGAGGCCAGGCGGGCGTTGGCATCTCCCTGGGCCCTGCCCTCCCTCCCCACCCCTGTCCACCCGTCTAGCACCCTGGCACTCACCCCGCACCCAAAGGGGTCCAGCATGAGGGTCCCGGTAGAGCACAGCGTGCGGCCGGCGGGCGGTGCCGGCCACGTAGTAGAGCAGCCAGAGGAGGGAGAGGACCTTGAGCGTGGACAGCAGGAGCCACACGTCACCCAGTGTGATAGCCACGTGGTTGAAGATCATGCTGCAAACGAATGCACTGCCCAGGAACACCACGTTGAGGGCCAGGAGCCCTGAGAAGAGCTGCCCTGCCTTCTGGGCCTGCAGGTCCCGTCGCAGCAGCAGTGAGACGTGTCGCACCAGCCAGGACTTCTGCCTGTGTGGGGCTGGGGCCCCTGTGTCCTCGGCCCCCACATCCACCGCGTTCTCCCTGGCCGGGGCTGCCACAGTCTCCTGTGCTTCTGGAGAGGGCTCGGGTGGAGCCTCAGCAGGGGCTGGAGAGGGAGAGAGGGTCCTGTGTTGTCTGCTAAGCTGTCTTAGGTTCAATTCCACCCCTGCCCCTCGCTGGCTGTGTGTTCTAGGGTGAGCTACACAACCTCTCTGGTCGGGCCATTGGAAACAATGGCAGCTGCCTTCTCCACTTTACAGGCCCCGAGGAGGAAGAGGGTCAAACAGAGCAGGGCATATGGAAACTCTTTGGGTTACAAATGACCATTGTTTCAACTGGCTTGAGGACCATCCTCTGCCACTCCACTTCTCACCTCAGTAATTTAGCCTGATCCTAAGTAGGGTGGTGATAATGGCAGTCAGGGGAGCTGGGGACCTCTGTATAGTGCCAGGACGCTGACAGGGCCCCGGGCTGCGACTTTTAGCACCAAAAGGCAGCTTGTGCCCTGCTGTCTTCTAGAAGGGATTTCCCTCCTGGGACCAGGGAAGGCAAGTAGGTGTCCTTGTCTGATTCTGATTAGTTGGGTTGTCACTGCCTAGAGTGTTGTGTAGAGAAGGCTCCAGAGGCTGAGTCTGGGCTGAATGGGAAAGGACGCTGGGACGTGAAATAAATCCCTATGTTGATGAGCACACATGAACATACAATGAGCACACCTGAGTGTACATGACATTGCTTTTAGGGGTTTTGAAAACTCACCAATATGAGACCACATAGCCAACAGTTACTTTAAAACAAAGATGAGAGTGTAAGAGGTAGGGAAACTAGATGAATGGAAATGAGACAACCGGAACAGAAATCATGTGACTGTCAGGCAGTGTGAAGAACACAGCCAATGTTCCTGAACAATTTGTGCAGAAATTATTGAATGAGAACCTAAACTCCTGTGCAAACCTTCACAGAAAAGACAATAAAATATTATAATTATTTTTTTAAAAAAAAGGTCTGGAAGGATAGCAACCAAATTAATACCAGAATTTTCTGCAGAAGGGAGGAAGGTGCTGGGATTGGGGACGCTGAACTTTTCTTTAGCCTTAACGTTACAGTTTTTTAAAAAATTATTACCACATTCCATATATAATTAAAATTAGTTTTGAAACATGACAAAGGGAAAAAGTTCTGGGGTTGATTTGCAATGTCTGCCATGAGCACCGACTGGTTGGAATCAGCAGGAATGCCGTGCCCTTGATTTTCACTTACACCCCCATATCCACAAGGGCACCTGCATATCCACAAGTGCCCAGCATAGCATGGAGAAATGAACCTTGACCCTTCCCATTTCCTAACTGTCCCCTGCTACTTCCTCACCTTCTCTAAGTTTTTGCTCAGGCCAGCTGCGTTGTCATACCTCACTTGGGCCCAGATCATGGACCACCCAATACCTACAGCCGTGGTTCTGGGTGTGCTTCTGGCTGGGAGGCTTCTCCTGAGCTGACGGGAGGATCCCTCGACACCCCATGCTCCCCCCCAGATGCTCTTCCTTGGTGCTGTCCCTGTCCTGCTCTTACTCTCCGATCCCTGTTCTCTGGGCTCCGGGTCCCAAGTGCTCACTGTCCCTGTTCTCCAGGCTGGAGGAGGACAGCTTCCTAATGTCCACTCCCCGAGAGAGTGGCACCTCCAACCCCGGGCCTCCTAGCTGGGAGCTGAGTGTCCTCCCTGCCTCTTCCCTCATCCCTCGCCCCACCTCAGACCCTAAGCCTGCCCACGGTAGCTCATGAACCTGTTAGGTTTTACTGGAGCCCAACCACCCCAGTCCAGGAGCCCTCTCCTCTCGCCTGAACTTCTGCGAGAGGCTCCAACTGGTTTCCCTGCCCTTTGTGCCTCTTCCCTAGTAGGAGCCCTGCAAAGACAGCCAACTGCTCAGGATGAAGTCCAGCTACCCAGCATGGCCCCCACAGCCTTCCAAAGTGCAAACAGGGCAGTGTATGTAAAGGGCTCGGCAGAGGACGTGCTCACGGCTGGGGGCTGCTATTGCCCCCTGGTTAGCCTCGACTGCCCTCTCCAGCACTGTCTTCTGACCCAGAATGCCCTCTGCTCTCACCTCATCCCTGACTTTACTCCCACCCTTCTGCCTACAATGCTTACCCGATTTGCCCCTTGGCTGACTCAGTTTGTCTTTCAAGGTTCAGCAGGGATCCTATATCCTCTCTCCTCTTGGTGGCCTTCTCAGACCCCCATGGCAAGGCTGGATGAGGCACCCACCCTATCTCACTATTTTTTTCATAATTTATTTAATTTTTGTTATTGTCATTGAGAATGTACACAGCAAAACATACACCAATTCAAGAATTTTCACATGAACAATTCCGTGACACTATGACATGATTTGAGTTGTGGAATCATTCTCCCCCTCCTTGTCTGAGTTGTTCCTCCCTCATTGACATAAACCCCCTAAGGTTCCTCTCTAATCTTTTGAGTGGCTGTTGTCAATTTGATGCCATGTAGACAAATCTTAAATGAGCCTAAGGCTCAAGGTTTCAGCTAAACCGGGATAATTTTGGTTTAAAGTTTAAAGGTTATCGCAGGGCAGTAGTTTCAGGAGTTCATCCAGCCTCCATGGCTCCAGGAAGTCTGGATTCCATGAGAATTTGAAAATCTGGTCTGCATTTCCCCCCTTTTGATCAAGATTCTTCTACAGAACCAAACCTACGATAATGGTAGCCGGGCACCATCCAGTTCTTCTGGTCTCATGGCAGAGGCAATTGTTCACAGCTATCTTACTGTATTTTAATGACCTCTGCTCTGCTCCATCTCCCCTCTTAGACTCAGCTTTGGGGGCCTCAGGCTTTCCCCCGATGGGGTTCCCACAGGATCCCCCATGCCTGGCTCTAAAATGCAGCCTCTCCAGGCCCCCATTCTCCACAGGCCACCTGCTCAATATTCACACCCTTTACTGTTCCCTCTGGGACAAGGAGACTATTGCAAGCTTTAGAAACAATTTTCTCCCCTTCCACCATCCTCCTTGTCAGCCTTGCCCAAGCTCTGCCCCCTCTGTGTCCAGTCCATCTCACTATGGCCCAGGTACCTGCCCCCATGGTCAGCAAGTCCAACTGGAGGACTCATGTGTCTTCCTCCTCCTGCCCTCACACCTGGAGCTGGTTGTTACTTCCATCTCACCCCACCATGCCCCCACCAAAGGCTCTCACTCATCCTCACCACCCACCTCAAGTGCCTCTCCTGGGAAGCATGCTGGTGGCTACCTTGTTGGACCACTCACTCCCCTCCATTGGGAGTGGCTGTGCCCTGTCTGGCAAGGTGCTGTTGGTGTGGCTGGCTCCCCTCAAGCCCACGAACTCCTTGGGGCCAAAGACCAGGTCCTGCTTAATAAAGACCGCTGGGGCTAATACCAGCATGACGCTCAGTGTTTGCTGACCAACTCTGGCAGTTTCTGGGGAATTTCAGCACTGGAACTGTGGACAGAGACCCTTCCATGAAACCTTTCCATCCTGGCCTGGGGACGAGGCGTTCCAGAAAAGCTTTACCTCTTCTTCCCAGGTTCTCCCGCCCAGGTTGAGCAAGCTGGAAGCTCAAAGGTGCCTCCCTGCTGCTTTCTCCCAACTCAGGCTCATACCTAGCCTTCCCCAAAACTTCTCCTCCTCTTCTGCCCCAGGCAGGATGGCCTAATTAACCCCTTGACATCCAGTCGCTTCCTACACACAGGGACCCTACAGGACAGAGTAGAACCACCCATAGAGTTTCCAAGGCTGTAATCTCTGGTGGCATAATGCCTAAGGCATTTGCCTGCTAACCAGAAGGCTGGAGGTTCAAACCCACCAGCCACTCCTTGCAAAGAAGGTTGGGAAATCTACTTCTGTAGAGATACCACCTCGCAAATCCAAGGAGGGGTCGCTATGAGTCGGGTCTGACTCAGCAGTGAGTTTGGTTTTGGTTAGAATCTTTACAGAAGCAGATTGCTTCATCTTTCCCTCCCACCCTGGAGTGGCTGGGTGGGTTTGAACTGTCGACCTTTCTGTTAGCCCAGATTCTGCCACTTACTACTCTGTGGTCTTGGTTAAGCCAAACTCCCTCATCTCTAAAACAGGTTTAATAAGTGTACCTGTTGTTGTTGTTATGTGCCGTCAAATCGGACCCGACTCATAGCGACCCCTCCTTGGGTTTCCGAGGCAGTACCTAGAACTATGGAATGACACCTAGTCCAAGGTAGACGCTCAGTGAGTGTTTCTTGAGTGAACTGATATATACCACCCACCTCTTAGGGATTTTGTCAGAATTAAATGACTTAATACCTGTAAATACATGTAGAACAGGGCCTAACACACAGAGCTCTGTGTTAGTATTAATGCATTTCTTTTCAGTTCTTTCAGGGTCCCGGAGAGGCTGCAAGGAGCTCTTGTGGCACAGTGGTTAAAGCACTCAGCTGCAAAAGTCCTCCCTTAGAACCACCAGCCCCTTCTGGGGATGAAGATGAGGCAGTCTGCTTCTTCAAAGACTAACAGCAGCCTTGGAATCCCTATGGGAGCAGTTCCACTCTGTCCTATAGGGTCTCGGGGTCAGAATTGACTGATGACAGTGGGGTGGAAGGGGAGACGCTGGAAGGGGCAGGACTTTTGGCGAATTCCAGGGGCAGTTTTTGCAGGCTCAGAGGGGACACTGGGGGACTGGGATCCGGAGGTTCCCCCCTCCAGGGTCCTCGACCTGACGGTATCCCCAGCCCCTACTCCAGAGGGTCAACCCTCCACGGCCGCTAGGGGGACAAGGGGTAAATTCGATCGGCTGTGGGGAGGCAAGTAAGGGTCTCAAGAAAGGAGCGAGGGTGCCCGGAGCTCACAAGGAGGTGTCCGCACCCTGGGCACGCCCCTGGGCGCTGCCGCCAAGCCAAGGGAGGGCCCGGACGCCAAACTGGTTTTTGAGTCGCGGTTAGAGCCACGTGATGGAAGCCGCGGAGCCGTCGGGGCGCGCAGGCCCAGCTCCAGAGGAGCGCGGCCCGGTGCTTTGAGGTTCCTTCGGAGCCGGGAGGCAATGCAGGGTCCGGGAGGGCCGCTTCCCTAACCCCTGCCCCCTCCCCAGCCGTCCAGGCGTCGCTCCTCCCCGGCCTGGGTCTGCGGAAAGGAGGTGGGGAGCGGACTGGGGCTGGGGAGAGGGGCGAGCGCTGGGATTTCGGGAGGGTAGCCCCCTCCGGATCTAGCCCCAGTCCCCGCAGCTCCTGGTCTCTGAACCCCGTTTTAGGGTGAGTTTGTGTGGGCGCTTGGGGAGCGCGTCTGGAATTTTCCCCCTGCGGTCCAGGGCGCTCTCCGCCGCAGCTGCAGCCCGGCCAGCCTTACCTGGGGCCTGGGAAGGCATCGCCGCCGGCTACCCACCGCCCGCGGAGCAGCCACGCGTCTGTCCAGGTGAGGCCCCGCGCCCGGACCGACGCCCCGACGGCCTCCCCCCGCGGGACTGCCCAGCGGCCTCTCGGCCTCAGCGGCCCATCGATTTTCCTGTTGACTTTGGGAATCTCATTAATCCCTCGTTAATTACCCCGCCGAGGGCTCTGGCTCGAAAGGGCAGCCAATAGCGCAGAGGCTGGATGGGAGGGTGGGGCCGGAGGCGGTGCTGGCGCGGGGCCGCAGGGTCAGGGGCCCGGGGGCGGGCCTTGTGCTGGCGCCTGCCCTCCAGGGTGGGGTGGGAGACCTTGTCCTGAGGCCCGCAGTAAAGGGCTCGCAGGGTTCAGACCACACGTTCCCCTGGTGGCCAGGCTGGGACTGGACAGAGGTCTGGGGTCCCCTTTTCCTGAGTCCCACCCAGCACCTGTGTGGGACTACTAGCAGAAAAATTGGCGGTTCAAACCCCCCCAGACATGCCTCCTAAGACAGGTCCGGCAATCTGCTTCCAAAAGCTTACATACAGCCTTGAAAGCCTGTGCAGTGAAGTTCTATTCTGGACATGTGGGGTCTGCAAGGGTCAGAACCCACCCTATGACAACTATCAGCCAACCTAGTACCAAACAGGGGTGCCTCCTCACAGCACCTTTCCCTCCCTTAATCAGCCATGAACTTGGGGCAGAAGAGAACCAGGCAGAACCCCATGCTGAGAGATAAGATGTTGGATAGGGTGGAAGGCCACCTCCTTGGTGTCCTCCCTAACACCCACCTGTGGCCTCAGAAACCCAGGCCACCTCATCCACTGACAGGGGCCAGGCCACACTCTCCAGGATGTCCCCCGTGCTCCAGGAGCTGCTGCCCCTACCGCTTCCACTCACACCCCAAATGCTGTCTCCTCCCACCCAGCCACCAAAGCCTGTGCCCCTTCACTGCCTCTGTCTGGCCACCATCTTCCTCCTCTTCTAGCCAAAGTGCTCTTTGTCAACCTCCAACATCACCTGCTCAGCCTCCCTCCCTCCCACTCCTTAGTACCTTCTGTGGTCTAGAAGATTAGGGCTCTGGAAAAGAGCCCCAGGGCTTCTGGGGAGTGGAGTGGTGGGTCAGGGCTGAACCCCCAGTTCCCCTTAAACTAGAACAGCTATAACCTTGGATCCTAACGTATTTTACTCCAGGGGAAAACTGTTCTGCTGCTTGAAAATATCTAAAAAAGACAAAAAACCAAAAACTCACTGCCATCAAGTCGATTCTTACTCATAGAGACCCCCTTTGGGTTTCCGAGGTAGTAAGTCTTTATGGAAGTAGATTGCCCGGTCTTCCTTCCATGGAGTGGCTGGTGGGTTTGAACCACCAACCTTCTGGTTAGCAGTCAAATGCCTTAGGCACTGCACCACCAGAGCCCCTGAAAAAGCCCGGAGATGATAATTGTGGTGGGAAGGCTCCGTCCCCCTTCAGTCGTGTGACCTTGGAAAAGTCACTTCCCCTCTCTGAGCTGCTTCCTTCTTTGTAAAAGGTGGTGGTTGGGTTGGGTCAGGGCTTCCTCACATTTTTTGTGTCATGGACACATTTAAAAAAAAGATAATATATGGATGTCACCCTGGGGATAAAGGGAAGAGGAAGGCAGAAGCCTGGCCCAGGTGCTCCCAGCCTCACCCAGTTACCACTTCTTAGCTAGTCTGTCATCAGACTTGGCTCACTCACTGGAGAGCTTCCCTTCCACCTCTGCCCCCCAAGATCTTCCCTGTCACCATCTCACCATCTCAGCGGGGGTGGCTGGGATAAGAAGCGGGACAGGGGAGCGAATCACTGGTTTATTGGTTCCCAGCTCCAGGCAGAGGCACTGGCCAGGCCACCGGGCTTGGGCTGGGAGTGGAGCCGAAGCTGGCCCTTCCAGACCTTGCCTGGCACTAGCCGTGCTGCAGGGAGAGGGCCCGAGCCAGGATGCCCTCCCTAGCTGCCCATGCCCCAGGGCCTGCAGGGGTAGGTGGGCACGTCCTGATGGGAATGATCAGGATTTAAAAACTCATCGTGGAAAAAGAACATCTGTGTGAGTTCCGCTCTGGGGCAAGCAGTGAGTGTAGCAAAGAGGCAGGAACTGGGCACAGGGTCCACGGCCCAGGCCAGGAGTGGCTCTGGGTGAATGCTTGAGCTGCCCCTCCCCCCTGCCACATCCCTGGCGGCGTCAGGACAGCACGTAGACCTCCAGCAGGCTGGAGACAGCGTGCATGCGGTAGAAGATGCCAAACGGTAGGCAGACGTTGACGATGGCGGCCCAGAGTGCATAGCCGTAGAAGTTCACCTCCACGGGGTTGCTGAAGTGCGGGCGGGCGCCGAAGGCGGGCATGATCCACAGCTGTGAGAGAGAGGGGCACATTACAACCCGGCTGGACTGGCACCCTGGGGTCACATCTGTGAGCTTTGCTGACCTGAGGTAAGGTGGGGATCCCAGTTTGGGGGCCAGCGAGGGCTGGGTGTTATTGAGGGGGACCTCCAGTATCTTGGATAGGGCCTAGCACTCTCCAGGGAGCTTGGGAAGTTGTGGCCGGCTGAGCTTGCCCATCTGTGACCACATCTCCCACCTTCTTAGCATGGCCCACTTGTGGGGTGCAGGAAGGGGAGGAGAGGGTCTCAGTGGAGGATGTGAGAATCTGGTCTAACTGGCTAGATCAGCAGCTGTGTCCTGGAGACAGGTGTGTGCAGCGGTGGGGGTCCTATCAGACAGGCCCAGGGTAGCTCCTTCCATGAGCTCTGGCCCTCCCCATCATGCCAGGGCTGAGAAGGAAAAAAAAAAACAAACACCAAACACACTGTCATTGAGTTGAGCCAGTGACCCTATAGGACAGAACAGAACTGCCCCATAAGGCTTCCAAGGCTGTCAATCTTTACAGAAGCAGACTGTCTCATCTTTCTCCTATAGAGCAGGTGGTGGGTTCAAACCACCGACATGGTTAACAGTCCATTGCTTTCACCACTGCACCACAGAGCCACATAGGGCTGAAGGGAGGTTGAGACTGGACTCCTGCTTCATCTCTGGGGCAAGAGGCAAAGACCAGAGGCTTCTAAACTGGCATTCCCTGGCCCTTCCACTTAGCTGTGTGCCCTTGGGCACATCTCTGCCCTCTCTGAGCCTCAGCTTTGGTCCTACAAAATGAAGGGGTTGGAGCGGATGCTCTCCGAGGTGATCCCAGATACTTGGAGGAAAACAGCCTCCTGGAAGGTGACACCCAGCCTGGAGGAGGGACCTGAGTGGGAGGTAGGGGTGGCGCTGGGGGTAGGGCACCACATCTGTCCCTGGACTTCCTCAGGTTTCCAACCTTACTGCTTTTACTGAGAGGGTCAAAGATTGGCGACTACTCTTTTTTTGTTTAGTGAAGCTGACTTTGTTGGGAGGCTCCTGCCTGGGGTTGAACCCCCAAGTCTGGGGACAAGGACCACAAGAGAGGTTACCTACAATAGTCACAGTGGGGACTTCACTAGGGCACTTCAATGGGGCTGTTGGTGCATTTCACGAGGCCCACATGGGGATGTATTCCCTCCTGTCATGTTGCTCCATTGGGATACATACACACTAAAAATGCTTCTGTATCGGGGGTAACTTGTCAGGGAGGTTACAGCTGAAGGGTCTATTTGACATCGAGTTGAACCATCATTACATGACCGTTGTCAGAAGTGTTTTCTGTACTTGGGACGTACCCACGTAGTACGTGATCCTGTTATAGCTACATTGGGGGCCTTCTATCTTGGGTTGTAGCTTTACTAAGCGGGCTTCCCAATGGGGGTGCACCTTTATAAGGAGCGTTTCTGCCGTGGGCTGTTTCTGTACAGGGAGTTGCTCCCAGTAAACGGCTTTGCTGAATCATGGGGTGGGAGGTGGCAGTGTAGACGCTCTCCTTCTCTGCCAGCCCCCCCTGCTCACAGACGCTCACACCTACACTGGTCTCTGCTACTTCCTGTGGCTGCTCCAATTATTCTGAGAAGCAGGCAGGTCACAAGCTCTCAGCAGCAGTCACACATCCCAGGGGGTGGGGTGGGGGGTGGAGTGAGGGCTCCCACCCTCCACAGCCCCCAGCTTCGTCTCACCACTGCCCAGCCCCCACCACAGCATTCCCTGGGACCCCTGGAGCTCCGACCACTCACTGCCTAGATCCCAGATGCTGGGATTTCATTTCTCTCTGTGTGCCCAGAGATGCTGAATGCCTGGGGGCTGCGGCTGACCCTCTCTGAATATACTCCCTTCCTAGGGAGCTGTACGGTTCTCCCATGGGCTGGGGGCAAGGTGGAGAAGGCTTCGAGGTCAGACCTGAAAGAGCACCCCTCCTCGGCCTTCTCACTGTGCCAGCCCACCCTCCTCTCCCCCCAGCTACTCACGATGACATTGCACGGCAGCAGAAAGAGAGAAATGTCCCTGAGGCACCGGCGTCTCCAGTGGCCCCTGGGAGCCAAGATGATGGCCGCTACCTCCTGTGGGCCTTCGGAGCTGGAGCCCACCAGGCTGGGAGTGGGCGGGCAGGCGGGTAAGGTGTGCAGGGCGCCCACATTGGCGAAGGTCAGGCCGTGGCAGGGCTCCTTGGGAGGGGTATCCTGAGGCTCGGCGCCCGGCGGCCCTCGGTGGAGGCTCTCAATGATGAACACGTTCTGGAAGGTGTGCTGGGCGATGAGGAGCAGAGCGTGGGCGAGGTTGAGGCCCCCCAACAGGTCCTTGGGCATGCCCACCACCACGGCCACAATGGAGTAGTAGGAGATGGCATACTGGCCCAGGGCGGCCCCCATCAGCAGGGCCACGTCCAGGGTACGTGTGGGGTTCTTGTGGTGGTCCATGGCCCGACGGTCAAAGCGGTAGATGATGGAGCCGCTCAGGCTGACCAAGGTCATGAGCCCCAGGCAGACGATGTTGAAGGTGTAGTAGATGAGCAGGGCCTGCTGGGTTTGGCCACCCTCCGCACTCACTTGGACCTCGTAGATGATGAAGACGGCCAGCCCCACCACAAAGAGCATCAGGCCCAGGGTCGGACCCACAAAGAACGTCTCCCGGAAGAGACTGAACCGGGACAGCACGTGGCTGTGGCCGTGGGAGGGGGCCAGCAGCCGGCCCACGTTCTTCCACATGACGTAGAGCATGGTGGAGGCGAAGAGGCTATACTCGATGTTGAAGGGATACAGGTAGAAGTAACCTTGCTGGAAGATCTGGCACAGGGCCGTGTTGCAGGAACAGGCGTCTCCTCCAACCGGGCTGCTTGCCCGCTCCGCTGGGGACAGAGGGACACAGACTGAGCTGTCCTCATACCCTGTGGACATGCCCCATCTGAAGAACCTCATCCTCTAGACTGTGACCTTCGTAAGGGTAGGCCCAGTCTGGCCATATTCACCGTTGTCCCCCAAACACCTATCACGGGGTCTGGGATACTCATTCACTCCACAAATATTTATTGAACATCTACTCTGTGCCAGAGACTGTGGGACACATCAGTGGATAATAGCCAGTGACCAGTTTTTTTTTTTTTTTTTAAGTGACCCCAGAACTGCCCTACTCCATGCCATTCCATCCATCAGAAAAACACCCTGAATCCTTCCCCATTGGTCACAGCCTCCAGCTCCCTAAGAGAGATGAGGTCTGGTCCTGCTAGAAGGTGGCCTTCTTGGGAACCCCTCAAGTTCAAGCTTCCTCACAGCTCTTGCCAGCATCTTCTCCTTCCAGAAAGTGAGCTGCTGTGACCAGGTCCCTGCCCTGACTTCCTGTCATTTCGGTTTGTCCCACGCCAATAGGCGTCTTCTCTCACATCCAGAGAGGGCCTGATAGGATATCTTAGGCGTTGACAACCATCTCTGAAGCCCTAGAACCATCCCAGCTATTTTTGCAGATAGGGAAACTGAGGCTCAGTGAGGTAAGGTGTCTTGACTGGCAGGCCTACCACAAATGACCTACTCCCAGCCCTGAGGCTGGCACCTCTCTGCATGCCTCTTCCCACCCCCTCTGCCCCACCACACTAAGCGGACGTCCTCCCAGCTGGTTTAACTGTCCTTCAGAATCCTCTGGAGGCACAAGGTGGTAGTCTTTTGCTAGACTGGGGTCTCCCTGAGGACTGGGCCCCTGCTTTCAGTTTCTGGATCCGCACACTGGGGAGGGGGGTGTCTTTAGGTGAGGTCCAGATGGACTAAGTCAACTAGTCTGGTCCTGGCTAAGTGGACAGTCCTACAGGACGTCCAAACAGCTAGGACCAAGAGGACTGTAGAACCCATTCTCCCTCAATAGAAAAAGTAAACAAACCCATGACGTCAACTCTGACTCATAGCGACCCTATAGGACAGAGTAGAACTGCCCCACAGGGTTTCCAAGGCTGCAACCTTTACGAAAGCAGACGGCCACATCTTTTTTCTGTGGAGCAGCTGGTAGGTTCAAACTTGACTTTTCAATTAGTAGCCAAGCACTTAACCAGTGCACCACCAGAGCTCCTTCCCTCCGTGTAGCGGTTCGTTAAAAGCAAAGATGGATTTGAACATTGGTTCTCCAATTGCACTCTGTAACCAAGTAACTTACATTCCCCATCCCTTAATGTCTCCATGCACAAAATGAGGATACTGATAGACTCATCTCATAGGGACGTTATGGGGTTAAGTAAGATACAGTGCTTAAGGCACTTAGCTCGGTGCCTGACATATTTATTGTTACTTGCTGCTGAGTCAGTTCCAATTCATGGGCACCCCATGTGCACAGAGAAGAACTGCTCCAGAGAGTTTTCAAGTCTGGGACCTTTTGGAAGTAGATCACCAGGCCTGTCTTTCCAGGTACCCCTGGGTGGGTTTGAACTGCCAACCTTTCAACTAGTAGTCAGGCACTCAACTGTGCCTTCAGGGTGTCTCCCTGGCATACAAACCAAAAAACCCAAATCCCTTGCCGTGGAGTCAATTCCAACTCATAGTGACTCCATAGGACAGAGTAGAACTGCCTCATAGGGTTTCCAAGGCTGTCATCTTTGTGGACGCAGACTGCCACATCTTTTTCCCACTAAACAACAGGTAGGTTCAAATTACCAACCTTTGGTTAACAGCCAAGTGCTTAACCACTACATCACCAGGCTTCCTCCCAGCATAGAGGGCTCAGTCAGCTGCCACCACCATCATCATCACCTCCTTCCCCAGGCTCTCCCCATCTGATCCACGCTTCCACATTGAACCCACTTGCCCCCTTCCCCTTGTCCCCCAGCTTGACCACCCTTGTCCTTTCACCCTGAACCTGAATCCCTTCCTTAGTGGGCTGGAGACCTGACCCCTCAAGGATGACAATGTTGCCCCCAATTCCTGGGTCACCTAGCCGTCTTCTGAGATGAGGCCTTGAGCAGGAGGAAGGCCCGGCCCGTGCCCTTGTGAGACTAAGAATCCACAAAGCAGCCGGGGCCAGGGTTGGTCTGGGGCGGGACTCACGGTCAGGGGCAAGGCGAGTGTGGCTGGCGTTGCTGTGAGAGCTGCTGTAGGAGTGGGCCTGGTGCACCGACTCATCCACCACAGCTGCCATCCAGATGGCCAGGTTGGTCGTGAGGGTGAACATGAGGCCACACCTGTACGGGGAGGAACAGTCTTTGGCTCACGGTGGGTTCCTGGCGAGGAGAGTTGGGGAGCTATATTGGGGGAGGTTGTTGAGAATCGAGGAGGCAGACAGGCGCCTGTTGAGACAGGCAGCTGGGTTTGGAATGAGCACTTAACCTGGCCAGGATGCTGTCCAAGGGAGGGCCAGGGGATGTCCAGGGGCTCAGGCAACTGCCGCTCCCAGGGGAAAAGGCCTGTGGTACATTTCCCAACCACCCTCCCAAAATGTGCACACACACACAGACACACACACACGGTACATGGCACACAGGGGTGAACTCTGGCTGACAAACCAAGGGGGCTTCATCTAGACCCCCACCTAGAGCACAGAAAGGGGATTCATGCCCCAGGCTGGACAGCCCTCCTCTCCTGCAAGGTGAGCCTGGCCCTCTGGCCCCAGCATTGAGCTGTGGATAGCCACTCACCGGGTCAGATCCAGGTGGATGTGAACACAGTCTTTAGCAGAGACCCAGAGAAAGTAAGTCTGTATTGAGAGAGAATGGTGCCATTTACTCTTCACAAGGACGAAGCTCCAGTTATGTCCACGTCCATGTCCAGCACTGGTTCCCTCTACCCAACAGCCTTTATTCTAAGTTACCAAGTTTATTATTTTTTATGACATGGTAGGGCGTAGTCTTCTTGTTCTATGGAATAGTTTATAAAATGATGGTTCTCTTCTTTAAAGGTTTGCAAAATGTCACCTGTAAAACTCTCTGGTCATGGTGCTTTGCTTTTTCTTTTTTAATTTTTTGTGGGGAGTGAGGGGTCAAGTAGAGTTTTGGACATGGAATTGTCTCTTCCTGGGAGCAGGGCCAGCCTGATGCTAGGTGTTGCTTAAAGTAGAAAGAGTCTTAAAGTAGAAAGTGGCTTCTTGCCTCCTTTCACATCCCCTGCTCCCGTCCTTGTCCTCTGTCCCCTGTAGGACCTTGCCTCCCTCTAGCTGCCAATGATCCCCTGCTAGGGTCTTTGCCGATGGAGTTATCTCTGTTTTAATTTCTTCTGATTGTTTTTCAAACACCCAGAGTGTAAAAGACTAAAACCATATAAATACATTGTCATAAACGTGTTGGACAGTGGTCAGGCAGCTACAGTGATATTTTAGGGGAGGGTACCATGCATGTAGTCATTCTGATCATCATAATAGGCTGTGGTCCCCTCTGGCCACATGTAAATCCAGTGCTGCCTCCATCTGAAGATCTTTCAAGGTGTTGCTTATGCAGCAAATACAAACATCTATACTTGAACTTGGTGGAAAAACCCCAGTTACAGGATACTGTCCTCCCAGAGATGTGTGCTCTCTATGGACACTCAGAGGGCAGGCTGGGTTCTAGGAGACAGAGGTGACTGTCACACCTTACACCTGCTAGTGTCAACTATTGACAGTGCTTAGCTTGAAATAAGATCTCAAGACCCTTAAGTAGGAGCTCACATTTGGATTTTACCTCATTACCTAGTGTTTCTGGATATATACCAAGTGCACTGGTCTTACATGTGACCAGAAGGGACCATAGCCCATTATGATGACCAGAATGACTACATGCATGGTGCCTTGCCCTGAAACATCACTCCAGCTGCCCAACCACTGTTCAACACGTATATGACAATGGCTTATAGTTTTAGTCTTTTACACTTTAAAAACCAAAAAATCCTCACTGCCATTGAGTCAACTCTGACGCACAGCGACCCCATTGGGTTTCTGAGGCGGTAAATCTTTATGGAAGTAGATCACTCTATCTTCCTTCCATGGAGTGAGTGGCAGGTGGGTTTGAACCACCAACCTTCTGGTTATCAGTCAAATGCCTTAGAAATGTTTAGGTAAGATTAAAACATGAATAATGCATACGATTGATCCCCACTTCAATCCTATCCCCATCGTGTCGAATTGCACAGGGTGGATGGGGGTGTGGAGCTCAGGTCTCCTGACCCCTTGCCAAGTGTTGGCTCCCTTCTACCACACCTAAGGACACTCCTCCCACCCACCTGGACAATGACAAACACAGCCTGGATGAGAGGATACAGGATCTTGATGGCTGATTGGCACTCAAAGAAACTGGAGTAGTAGCCAGTCTTGAAGACATCCATGACGAGGGTGCAGACACCAAACAGCACCAACCCACCTGGGAATCAGTGAAGAGCAGAGAGGTGGGAGAGGCGGCTTAGTGACAGAGCTGGCCCTTCCCGAGGGCTCTGAGGATGGATGGCCGGGTAGGTGGTGGAGGAGGGAGTGGTTAGATGGTGGGTGGGTAGGTAGATGGGCGGGTGGATGGATGGATAGGTGGATGGGTGGGTGGATGGATGTTGTCCTACTGCACTCCCACCTCTCTGCTTTGGGACTGCATAGATGAGAGGAAGGGCCCCGACTGGACTCTCCGTTGCTGCTCTTACTCTCTGCCCTCCACTCACAGCTGCCCATGACCACGCTTCTCTAATCTTTAGACGGCAAAGAAGTTCCCCTCCATCCCTTCTGTTGGGCCCGCCTCCTGGAGCGTTCTCCTCCAATTGCAGCCCACCTCGCCCCTGCCACATCCAATCCTCCTGCAGGAACTTCTTCAGGCTCTACCCTGACGCGCACTCCCACGTTCCTCCCCGAGCCCTGGTCTCCAGGCCCACCCCGCCTCCCCTGGCACCTCGGAGCCAGACGGGGCCGGCGTGCGCGTCGCGGTAGGGCACTGCGTCGGGGCAGCGCGCGGTGCGCAGCAGGTAGAAGAGGATCCACAGCGCCGCCAGCAGCATCATGGTGGTGAGCAGCGCGAACACGTCGGTGTCGTACACCGCCACCTTGTTGAAGGCGCCGCCGCTGATGAGCGTGCAGGCCAGGAGCAGCGCGTTCACTGTCAGCAGGACCGACAGCAGCCGGCCGCCCTTCTTCCACACCTCGCGGGGGCCCGGCCGCGGGGCCGGAGGGCTCTCCTTGGGGCCCGCGGCCAGCTCTTCGGACATGGCGGGGCGACTGGAGGAGGTTGGAGGGGTCACTGTAGGGGAGGAGCAGACAGGAGCCCAGGTCAACCTCTCGGCTCTTCTTACCCTGTCTGGTCTCCAGATTTGAGGACCAGGGAGTTCCTAGCAGAGGGGATTGAGGGTCGTGATGGTGGAAGCCCTGGGGAAAGGGAAGGACAAGCGGGGAGGCGGCCCTCGACGGCAGGAAGGGAGGAGGGGTGGCCCCTTAGGAGTCCCTCTCGTTTTCTGGGTCCCCATCCCCAAGCCTGCTGTCCGCTGGCCCCGGGACACCCACCTGGCTGGCGCGGGAGCCTGGAATGAGCTTGGGGCCGGGGGACGGCGACTGTGTCCTCTTTCCCACGCGGGGCTGATGGGGCGCTTTATACCCGGGAGGGCAGGGTGATTTACAGCCGCCGGCGGGCGGGCAGCTCGGCTCCATAAACCTCTCAGTCCCGTTCACATGATCCATCTTCTCTCCGAGTGGAATTTAGGGAAGCGCGCGGGAGCCAGATAAGGCGAGAATTATATTTCTCCCGCAAGGGGCGCCCCCTCCCCCGCCGCCCGGCACCCCGGCGCGCCCAGGCTGGGGCGCAGCCCGCACTGCGGCACCCAGAGGGCACCCCGCTCGGGCGCCCCCGTGATCCCGGCCCCCTGAGCTGTGATGGCTGATGCCCTGCTGACGCCCCGGGGGCTCGCGGGCGCCCCTATACAGCCTCCCAGCCCCGGGCGTGCGCAACCTCCTGTCGGCTGCCGCCTCGATAGCGGGACACAGTCCCTCTTTCCCCGACGGTTCTGGCAGCGATCGAAGTTGCTCCTTCCTCCATGCGGCTCCCTGCTCGGCCGGAGGCTGCGAGGACGCGCCGGTGGTACCGGCTTCGCACGCTGCGCGCCCAGTCCGCACCCAGCCCTCTGGCGCCCCCTGCTGGAGCGCGGCGACGCTATCCTGCGCGAGGGCGGGGCGGGCAGCCGCGTCCTATTCGCTGTCTCTCGGCCTGTCCTCATGACCCTCCTTGGCCCACTGTCCTGGGGTTCAGGACTGCCCCTCCACGCCTCTCTCAGACACCCCTCCCCAGCCTTTGGCCGCTCCTTGGACGGATGGAAGAGTCGAGGATCGCAGCGCCGGGGCTCTAAAGAAGACGAACCTCGGATTCTCCCTGACTACCACCAGGGGGCTCTGGGGCTGGCGCTTTTGGAGAGAGGACCCGGCCTCGCGTGGTGCGGCCAGACCCCGGGGGTTTAGGACCCAGGGGAAGCCAGGGGCGGTGCCCCCCTCACCCCAGGCGGGCGAGCGGCTCATATGTCCCGTAGCCGTGGCTCCCGCGCTGCGTGTCCTCCGTCTGCGGCAGCGGGCGCCGGCGGCCCCGGTCCCTGCCCGGCCCCCTCCCCCAGCCCCATGCCCCAGCCCTGACCCCGCCGCCCTCCCCCGCGGGGGGCCTCGCCCCGTGCCCCCTGCCCACCCTGTCCCAGCCGGGCACCATGAACGACCAGTACCACCGGGCGGCCCGGGACGGGTACCTGGAACTCCTCAAGGAGGCCACCCGGAAGGAGCTGAACGCTCCCGACGAGGATGGCATGACCCCCACCCTCTGGGCTGCCTACCACGGGAACCTGGAGTCGCTGCGCCTGATCGTGAGCCGTGGGTGAGTCTCCTCCGGCCCCTGTGGAAGGGGGAAGAGACTGGCGCGCTCCAGGCCCCTGACACGCAGCCCCGGACCCCAGGGCACCTTCCCCTTCCTGGGAGCCCCCTCTCCCCACCACAGACCCTAACAGGGATCTTAGAGGCTGGCAGGTGTGGGAGGAAGAGGGAGAGAAACTGGGTGAGTGACGCTTGTGACCTGCAAGTGGGGCTAGGAGGGAAGTGGGATTTGGGGGTGGCACGACTGGGGGTGCTAAAGAGCGAGAGGAAGGTGGGTCCCTCCTGGGCAGGGTCCACCTGGAAGCTGGAGTGAAGGGCATGGGAGAGCCTGGGAGAAGGCCGGTAAGCTGAAAGGGCCTGAGGTGGGGGCTAGGAAAGGAGGGTTCTCTGTTCCCCACACCCCGCAGCCTGCGTCCCCCACACCGCCCTGGCTGGGCCACTCATAGTTGTCTCTCACCCTTCTCATTACCTGGATTTATGGGCACTGTCCACAACACCAAATGCCACCCGCTCACACACCCCATTAACTCCCTCTGCAGCTCTGGTAGCATAGTGCGTAAGGCACTTGCCTGCTAACCAGAAGGCTGGCGGTTCAAACCCACCAGCCACTCCTCGGAAGGCAGGTTGGACAATCCTACTTCCGTAGTGATACTGCCTCAGAAACCCAAGGAGGGGTCGCTATGAGTGGGGACAACAAGCGCCCCTCCCCCACTGCAGGGCACAGTCGACCACTGTGCCCCTTGAAGGGGTTTCTCTCTCACCCTCCCTTTGGAGTTGTCCTGGGGGGAAGGGTGGTTCAGGAAGGGGTTCAGAGGAATAGGGTTCAGGGCCCAGGAAGTGGGTTCCCTGGGTTAAATCACACTGTGAACGGCCTCTCACCCCATCCCAGTAGCTCTGTAAAGAGAAGTCAGGTTGAACTGGACACCAGGTGTGCCTGGAAAGGGAAAGGCAGTGGAAGAGAAAGAGGGTGGCTGGCCCTGGCCTGAGGCCTGAGCCTGTGGTGGGTGAGGAAGCCCCTCAGCCTGTCCTCTTCCTTCTCCTCCATGCCTGCAGCTGGGTCCTGCCCACCTAAACAGGTGGCCCAGCCACGTTCCAAGATGCCAAGGCTGGCCCTCCCTACCCCGGGAGGGCCCTCAATGATCCCTGACCCCCTCGACTCCCCTCAGAGAGACTCAAGGGAGGAGGGGAAGAGGGCATGAAACCCTAACCCCTACAGAGTGAAGGGGCTGGTGTTGGAGTCTGGGCCAGATGCCAGCGGCCCCTCCCCACATCAATGAGCAGGACTTAGGGCCTAGGAGAGGAAGCTGAGGGGGGTTGGGGGGGAGCTGCTCAGACAAGGGAGTGATTCTTCCCGGCCCTGGGGGCTGGCCTTGTGGCCTCATTAGTGTGGGAAGGGGCAGTGCTGAGCCTGGCCCCTGATGGAGGCCAGAAAAAGCTTGGAAGGAGACATAGCTCTCTGGTCCCCGTCAGGGAGAAAGTCTGGTGTGACCCCTGGTCAGCCCACACCAGCCAGCCTCACAGAGCCCCCACAGATGGGGCAAACCTGGGAGGGGAGGGAGGCCAGGCTGGGCACGTGACTTCCACCTCCTGTGCTCCGGTCCTGGCTGTCCCCACACTCCCCTTTTGGCCCAGGCCAAGACCCGACACCTGCTCTCACACGCGGGCTTGCCAGGCCTGGCCCTGCTCCCTGCTGACATGGTCATGCCATGAGCAGTCACCCTATCACACTCAGCCAGAGCTCAGGCCCAGCACACACCCTCTCCCGGGCTCACACACTCACCCGGCACACACAGCTGCACGCATTGTCTTGCCAGCCTGAGACCCAGACTCGGCCCTAGCCCACCACCTCTCTGGGCCAGCTCCCCGCTGGGCCCCATGAATAATTCACTCCTTTCTCTCTGGGCATCAAATATTTATCCCCTGAGATTCCCAGCCCTGAGTTCTGTTGGGGAAGGCCCCGCCCTGGCCACGCCTCCTCGGGAGCCCCACCCCTGGGTTGCCTGGGGCCATTTCTCCCCTGGGCTCACTTGGTACTTTTGGTGGTGCACACCTGCGTGTCCCCTGGAGCCAGAGAAGTCTCAGTCTTATAGGCCCTTTGGGACCTGGCGTGGCCATGTGGGAGGTCAAAGGCACCTCCTGTCACAGGCTGCCTGTCAATTTGGTGGCTCATCACCTCTCCCTCCCCACGTGTCCTCTCTGCAGGGGCGACCCGGACAAGTGTGACATCTGGGGCAACACGCCCCTGCACCTGGCAGCCTCCAATGGCCACCTGCACTGCCTGTCCTTCCTGGTGTCCTTCGGAGCCAACATCTGGTGCCTGGACAACGACTACCACACGCCGCTGGACATGGCCGCCATGAAGGGTCACATGGAGTGTGTGCGCTACCTGGACTCCATCGCGGCCAAGCAGGGCAGCCTTAACCCCAAGCTGGTGGGCAAGCTTAAGGACAAGGCCTTCCGCGAGGCGGAGCGGCGCATACGCGAGTGCGCCAAGCTGCAGCGCAAGCACCACGAGCGCATGGAGCGACGCTACCGGCGCGAGCTGGCCGAGCGCTCCGACACGCTCAGCTTCTCCAGCCTCACGTCCAGCACCCTGAGCCGCCGGCTGCAGCACCTGGGGCTGGGCAGCCACCTGCCCTACTCGCAGGCCACGCTGCATGGCACCGCCCGGGGCAAGACCAAGATCCAGCGAAGGCTGGAGCGACGCAAGCAGGGCGGCGAGGGCACCTTCAAGGTCTCCGAGGACGGCCGCAAGACCGTGCGCTCGCTCTCCGGCCTGCAGCTGGGCAGCGACGTGATGTTCGTGCGCCAGGGCAACTACGCCAACCCCAAGGAGTGGGGCCGCTCCCCGCTCCGGGACATGTTCCTCTCGGACGAGGACAGCGTCTCCCGTGCCACGCTGGCAGCCGAGCCAGCCCACTCGGACGTCAGCACCGACTCGGGTCACGACTCCCTGTTTACGCGGCCGGGCCTGGGCACCATGGTGTTCCGCAGGAACTACCTGAGCAGCGGGCTGCAGGACCTGGGCCGTGAGGACGGGGGCCTGGACGGGGCAGGCACGCTGCGGGCTCGGCTGCAGAGCACCCCCAGCCTGGACGAGGACAGCCTGGGCAGTGCCAACAGCCTGCAGGAGCGCAGCTACTCGGAGGAGCTGCCCTGGGACGAGGTGGGCTTGGGCCTGGACGAGGGCCTGGAGCCCGAGACCAGCCCGCTGGAGACCTTCCTGGCCTCGTTGCACTTGGAGGACTTCACTGCCCTCCTGCGGCAGGAGAAGATCGACCTGGAAGCCCTGATGCTGTGTTCGGACCTGGACCTGCGCACCATCAGCGTTCCGCTCGGGCCGCGCAAGAAGATCTTGGGGGCTGTGCGGCGGCGGCGCCAGGCGCTGGAGCGCCCGCCCGCCCTGGAGGACACCGAGCTGTGAGTGCGGGGCGCCTGCTGCCTGGGTTAGAGGAGAAGGCGGGAGGGGGCATAATATCGTATTTCATAGAATTAAGTCGCCGTCAATTTCAAGATGCCCCACTATTTTATGGACTAGGAAGTCAGGAAAAGAAGCTGGCGACTTAATTGTAACATGGGGCTTTCTTAATCACAGTGGATGTAAAATTCACCTCGATTTTAGAGAGATCAGCGTTGGAAGATGGGCGCCTTAGCTTCTATGGCTCTGGTGGCCAGTGGTTAAAGCATTTGACTGCTAACCAAAAGGTCGATGTTTCCAACCCACCAGCCAGGGGAGAGAGAGATGAAGCAGTCTGGTTCCGTAAAGCTTGACAGACTTAGGAACCTTAGGGGGCAGTTTTACTCTGTCCCAGAGGGTCATTGTGAGGGTGACTGTGAGTTGGAAGCCATTCGACAGTAGTGGGTTTGGTTTGGGCTTTGCTTCCATCCAAGTTGACAGCCTGGGAAACCCATTGAGGCAGTTCCACTCTGTCCTCTAGGGGCGCTGTGGGTCAGAATCGACTCCAGGCAGTGGGTGTGGTTTGGGCTTTGCTTCTGTGAAGACTGACAGCCTTGGAGACCCTCTAGGGCAGTTCCACTCTGTCCTCTAGGGGCGCT